ATCATTGATCAGCATTTCATCAATACAAAAGAGCTGACGAGATATTGGAAAATGTAGATGATCGCAAAATAATAACATTAAAAACATCTCCTCTATACCAATTCTTGGACGGAATGAGTGTCTCGTGTATTCTCCAAACTTTATAATAGCACGTATATATTTCCTATTTTTTTTAAAATCAATTTTGGACAAGTTGCTATAAAGTTTTCAATATAACTACATGAGTAATCTCAAAGAGTTTATTTAAGGATCGTGCAAAATCGTGTCGTTCAAGAGCTTCAAATTCGTTACATTGGGAAATAAATGATAAACTGACAAAAAACTGACAGACAAATTAAATCGATGTTAGATTCAGTGAATTATTCGTATCTTTCTTTCAGAACTGAAGAGTTCACATTATTACCTTATAGCTAGGTATTTAAACACTTGTAAAATAGTCATAGCATACCTCTGCAACACTGTAGATATATTTAGTTCGAATGTTCATTCAACTAAGTGCTTTGAGCTTACCCTCGTTAACAAAACTTTTTTAACTTAAATCATGTTTATCTGAAATATGTTGTATAGAATGTCTGTTGGTGTCCGTGTACTGGGTACTTGTACACAAAAGATGTATTTTATGGTTTAAAACAATAGAACATAGTCTGGTTGTTAGAATGTCATCGTTTTATCAAACTTTATTTCAGAAGACGCCCAAGGGCAATGTGAATACATGTAAATGCAAACATATGACAAAGGCACGGAAGGAAAGTATCTTGTCTTCCAGGCCCGTAGGAAGCAATTTCAGTTTGAGGGGGGTGGGGGGGGGGGAGGAGCACAGCCAAACATTTTCATTTTCAACTGGGGGCACTATCACCTACCAAAAATTCCTTGACAAGCAAAAAAAAAAAAAAAAAAAAAAAAAAGGGGGTCATCGGACGTTATTATTGAGGGGGCACAAGCATATAGTAGCTAAGTTTTCTATAGTATTCTATAATGTCGGCAAAATCATTGGGGGCACGCCCCCCCCCGTGCCCCCCCCCCCCCCCCGTTCCTACGGCCATGTCTTCTGATAAAAAAAATATATATATAAAAGATATGCTGCAAACGGAAGTCCACTTCGATGTTTTTCGTTCAAATGTAATCAATTAAAAATCATTTTATAGCAAGGCAAAGTTTGATGTATTTTGTTTTGTCTGTATCAATTTACTTAAGGATGTAAAGTATATTTTCAACTTAGTCCAGTGTTATAAGAGCTTATCAAAAGTAAAAGTAGGCAAAATATAAGTATATACTGTATATTTACTATAAAATGTGATTCTTCTTCATGAAATATATACGAAGAAAATGGATGTAAATCATCAGGCTACGTAGTGTGTACATTCATGTACTTTCACACTTGAAATAAAATGATTTCAACTCTACTTTAATATGAGTTCCTTTTTATGAGATTTATAATTCATGTATGTCTCCTTGAATAATGCTTTCAACATTTTGGATTCGCTAATGCATGATCAACTCCAAAAAAAAAATGATTTACAAACATGGGCCATTTGGAATGCCATAGTAACCGACATTCTTTATTATGCTTATCATATTGATCTAGATTTATAGAAATGTTTTATCATTATCATTAAATCTATGCAGATACAACAGGGATACAAATCCACAACAGTAAAGTAGGTTTATGTTTATAAATCATGACTCACATGCTGCTACAATGGGCGATCAGAATGTTAGACAAGAAAACGGAGGAAAATTCTTTGAAAATCTTCTCAAAACCAGCGAAGCCATGAATTATCATACATGTTTTAATGTGAGAGCATCCTGAGGTAGTATTGATTCAAATTCCTTCGAATCAAAATCATCGGGGGTAGGGTGGGGTTACAATGGGCGATCAACTTTTTACATAGGAATATAGAGGAAGGAACTATAAAATTCTTTATTTCAAGACAGCAAAGCCACTATTGGTCATGTTAATGTGGAAGCATCCTTAACTAATTGTAGATTTGAATTTGTTCTAATAAGACGATAGGGCAGGGCCACAATGGCCGATGACAGTTTTACATTCTAGGAAAACACACATGTAGCACAATTTAAAAATCCTCTTCTCAAGAAGAACAAAATCATATATGGTCATATTTGTATGAAAGCATCCTTAGGAAGTGTAGATCCAAGTTTGTTCAAATTGTCACTCCCAGGGTGAGGGTGGGGCCACATTAGGCAATTAAGGTTTTGAAAGTACACTGTAATATTTAAAAGAAATCTTTAAAAATCTTCATCCAGCAATGTCATGATTAGTCATATTGATGTGGAGTGTAGGTTCAAGTTTGTTCAAATCATGCCCCGGGGGAAGAGCGCGGGCAACAATAGAAGATCAAACGTGTACATTGTAGGAAATTTTCTTTAAAAATCTTCTAAACCTGCGAGTAGCTTAAAAATATGTAGGCATCCTTAGTCAGTGTAGTTTCAAGTTTGAACAAATCATGCCCTCCGAGATACTGAACTGATTTCCGTTTTTTCCTAGTCAATTTGCTTAAGTGAGCTATGTGGCCCATGGGCCTCTTCTTTTAGATTTTAAAACTTAGATTTATACAGAAAATTAGAATTCATAGTACTAGTTACACTCCCAACTGCAAAGAAAACACATTTTAGCATAAATAATGCGTAGAATTTCTTATCAGAAAAAATTCTGTCTGGTCAAACTTATCTGTTTGTCTTTAGGCTCTAATTTGGGCCTATCTACTTATATTTCTCAGATTCGAGTCACGCTCCCAAAGTCACTGTCTTTCATTGCGCAATTGCGGATCAAGATATAGATAAGAGATAGAATGCTACAATGTGTTTCCGTTTCCTATGCAAATGACTCGTACTGTAATGACCAACCAAGTTCCCTGTAACATTTTCTTCTCCGCACAATTTTGGCTCTCAATCCAAGACTAGGAACAAATGAAACTGTAGCTTTCTAGACAGACTTTAAAATCGCGACTTTTGTCAGAGTTTGTGATGAGGAACGATGTCACTAAATATTGACATTGTAAAGATTCATTATCAAATTTTTACCTGTTAAAAAAATAAACCTTCTTCATTTTTTCGGGTTTAAAAGGATTTCAGACAAAAGTAGACACCTTCAGACGGAAAATGACGCTGATATTAAGACATCTCAATATTCCGACAGTTTTCCTTTTTATATATATTTGCACGAATACATGTAAACTAATTTTAAGACATTTTAGGAGTTAGGTGATAGGGTTGTGCCCCCAGGCCCCTTAAATCCGCCAATAAGAATATACACTATAAAACATTAGTTTTAAAGATATAAAACTGTATGCCCTCAAGATCTCCTTATTGTACAGTTTCACTGTAATGATTAGTTATTTTTATACACTAATTCATATTGTAAAACAAATCTGAACAAAACTTCGTCTATATATATACAAGTCAAACTGAAAAAAGAACCTGTTCCAACGTTGTCAGGAGTCCTGTTAGATCAGGTCTGTCATTACATGGGATTTTTAAACTCTAGTTAAAGAGAATTTATTAACGATTAAGAAATAATCATTGTAGTCCATCAATTAAAAATGTTAATTATTAGATCACTTTAACAAAAGAATTTGCATGCAATATTTTTAATGGGTAATCCAAAAAGACTCATTGAGGCTTTCATGGTCTTCTTCTTGTAATTAATGATCGAAATGAATTAACATAAGACAAAAATACCCGGCTCGATAATTTGTACCGTAGACCAAAAAAGGGAAATGGGTTGAGTTACACAGTGTATATAACCAGAGCTTCATGTCGAAGCACCTGCTGTTACGAAGATTGATTTTTTATGAGTTCCTTTAGTTGCACTGCTGTCGTATGTACTGTTTTTTTTTATGTATTACCAAAAATGAATACATTCATTTCATAATTCAACATCTTTGATTTTTCCATGTGTCAAGCATAATTCATTAATCCATTGGACAGAGATCACCTCCTCCTTTTTCCCCGATTCAAATCCTATTTATGAATGAAATCAAATGACCAGAATGTCCAGTTTGCTTATTTCTCATGATTTTGAGCAATTTATGTCTTTCTGAATCAATTGCTACAGATATTTTATGGGTATTGGTATTGAAAGGACAGTCTATTGATACTTTAGAGGATTTTATCATACTCAGATGAATCTTTTGACGCTTGTTTTGAAAAGCAATCTGAGAACCACTAGCTATATCAATATAAACTGAACTGGGCGCTAAACACGGATGCTTGAGGACAGGAACACTCCCTGTCGACCCCCCTTCCGTTTTGATTTTTTTCTGATAAATTATCTTACCACCCCGCTCTTTATATAAGGATTTTGTCACAAATGTGGCATTGAAAGATAATGTAGGAGAAAAAAGTTGGAACGGTCCGGGGGCTAACCGGGAGGGGGGGGGGGGGTCGGGGGCTTGTCAAACACCTGCATTAATTTGATAAAACAGAATTAACTGTAATTATTATGGATAATAAACCACAACTATCAAAAAAAATATTTTAAAATTCATTTCTTTGTTATAGTTTCCTAACTTTAACCCCCCCCCCCCCCATTTCCAGAAGTATAGATAGCTATAATTAATTTCAACGTTCTGTATACTAGTATATAGGAAATATTTGTCTAAGTATGATATATAGTAATAAAATGCAAATGAATGTCCGTGAACCAATTTTTTAGTTTGTATTTTCCTTTCTATATGAAATATTTTATATATAATTAGACAGTCAGACAAGGGCAATGATGAAGGAAAGAAAAGAGAATCAAGCAGAGGATATATACTTTGGTTAAAAGAATTAGGTTTTAAATTGAACTTTTTATTTCATATGTATCTTCCTGGGCCTCGGATTATCAACAAAATATCTTGTATCTTCTATCTTTTATAGAAAAGAAAAAAAACAAAAAACAAAAAAAAAAACTGTTAAGAGCTTGTAAACACGTAAACACAATTTGTTGTTTATAAAATATCTTTAATTTTAAACACAATACTATAACAACATCTACATTGAAGATTAGAAAGAAGCAATCAAATTGTCAATTTCACTTGAAACATATCTATCAAAATCTCCTTCATTCAGTCCTGTGTCTACATCAGTTCCCAAATCATGCGGGTTTATGATGTGACATTTTACATGTCTTTTAAAATCTAAAATTTGTTTGTTTGTTTGTATGTTGTTTAACGTCCCTCTCGAGAATTTTTCACTCATATGGAGACGCCACCACTTGCCGGTGGAGAGCTGCAAATTTTGTCCTATACTCGGCACGTACGGCCATTGAGCAATGAGGGATCTTTTCCGTGCCAGCACCTACTGCGACACGGGACCTCGGTTTATATGGTCTCATCCGAAGGACCGGTCTCCACGTCCCACAGTGGGATTCGAACCCGCGACGTAAGGATCAACTCCTTACTCCGCGACTCTAGAGCAGACGCTCTAACCACTGCGCCACGCGGGCGACAAAATCTGAAATAGAAATACATGTATTATAAATTGAACTGCATTCTAAATTTAGAAGTTTCATTTACTGCCCATTTAATAAAATATTTAACTAGATAGATGAAATATTCCAATTATTTTTTTTGGAGAAATTAATACTCTTGTTTACTATTTATAATAAATGTACAGGTACTAACTTTTCTTTCCCCACCATTTCTGTAACTCCATCACTCCCATAACCATCCACGAAAATCCAGGAAACATTTTCTGAATGCTGTAGAAAAAAGAATATCATGGATTTGAAAAACGGGAAACACAGAGGCATCTAAAACTCGTTGGATACTCTTTCTAAACTGTTAACGTAAATTGCTTTGTCTTTTACTAAAATCAAAATTTATATTACAATCATTCTAGCTTAACAAAAGTTGGTATTGCTACTTACTTTATATGGATATGCTGTCTGTCTTGAAATATTATATTCCAGTCGATGCTAGTATTTCACAGATAAAATCTATGAGAAACTTTTGGCAGGAAAATCGCCGATATTCTCAGAGAAATACTTTTCTTTGTTTAGAAGTAACCACAAACTACTGCCAGTAGAGTGTGACGTGTAAATCATTATGACGTCACAATGATAATGAAAACGAGATTGATATTAACATCCCCTTTTACAAATGGAACAATGCAATTTTCAGTCAGATTGGTGGTGGTTCTAAGATACATTCGTGGGGTTCTAAGATACATTCGTGTATCTAGCCGGGTGAATGGGGCGGGGGGGGGGGGGGTCAGGTGACTTTAATTGGAACCCCACTCTTCCTCGGATTTTTTAAGTTTTAGAATTTAAGAAGAGAAATATTGTAATAAAATTTAACCTTGAAAACCCCTTAAACAAACAAACCTCTTTTAAGTAGAGATATTTATATGATTGTATGTATATATACAGTATATATTCAATTCAATTCAATTCAATTAGTTTATTTACCAGTTAAGGGCCCTCTTGGAACAAAAGAAAGTACATCGTAAATTAACATTTATATATAATCATATACATGTATAATACAATATACATACACGCAAGAGAGAAAGAGTTGCATGGTTGATAGGAGAAGGACATAAAAAAAGGAATAAACCAGATCGTTTTTATACATATACATAAATTCACATAAATACACATATACATGTATATTAAAGGAAAGGCGACATATCCCCCCCCCTCCCCCCGTCCAAAAAATTTCCTGGACGCGCTCGTGAAGATATTTAGGACTCAAAAGGAAAAAAAAATGCCCCAAATAATTATTCACTCTATTCATCCACCCCAACGTCTTGTTTATTTAGGAACTAATTAATCATAATATTTATTTTTTTCCCTTCTCTTTGTTTTCAAGATTATAAGAAAATAATGAAGTGTTGTATACTTCTTACACAACTCAACTAAGTTCTTATAAATTTCTTATATTTTGTTTATTTGGTACTCATATTGAATGAATACCATAGAAAATCACAAATACATTCCGGAATCGATAATTCTCTCGAGATCGGTCCTTTAATTCTTATGCATTTGTCACTTCTTGTGCTTATGCAACCGCGATTTTTGACTCTTCGGAACGTGTTTCCTAGCATTCAAGGCCCAGTTCAAAGTTTTACAGGTAATTATACTGTAAAAACATTACGCAAATGAGTCTTATATATTCTGGTGACACTATTCCGTCATACAGACTTGAATAACGAAGCAATTCTTATTTTTAACCACAGCATTTTGTGTGTCATCTTGCACAGCTTTTTTTTTTTTTTTTTTTTTTTTTTTTTTTTTTTTTTTTTGCACAAAGTTATTATCTCCTAGGTCTTGAAAATTAGTTGATACCCCGTGATCTTTATGTCGACGAGTTTTACAAAATGGAAATCCTTTTTATCCCTTTCAATTATTTTAGTTATGCCTACGCATCCTTATGATGATGAACATGTATAAATTAATATATTTCTTATAAATAAATAATCCTTTTTTTAAACATGAACAGTAAACATGCCCAAAAGAAAGGCATCTTCAGATGATGGAAAATTACAGAGTAAAGTATCCAAGAAAAGGAAATCTACAGAATCTGATGAAGAAGAATCTAAAGGCAGCAAGCAGAAAAAATCTCACCCCAAACTGATAGACCCAGCAACAAACACAGAAACTGTAAGTAGTCTATAGCTACTTAAAGTAGAATATTTTTCCCTAATGTACAACTGACATGTATGATATTTTAATAAAATCTTTATTAGTATTTAATGAATTAATTGTACTGTATTTAATAACTGTTCAAGAAATTTAAAAGTTTCTATACACATTCTTTGAACAGAAAATGCCTTTGTTGGGCAAATATTGGTCATTGAGACAAGTAGGTACTGCTATACAGTATACTACTATATTGTTTGTGTTTTTCCCATTACATATTAGGGGTGCAATGATACACTAACCTCACGATACAATATGTATCACGGTATTCAGTTCACGATACGATACGTATCAGGATACATGACAAGGTTAAAAAGTCTTTCAAGTTTGTCATCATATTTTTTTTAACTTGACAGGTTTATATAAAATGTTCATATTTTTTTAATAATAATTAAAATAAAATTTTGTTAACTTGAATTGGATTGTTAGGAAGATCTTGGAGTTTTGACAATATTCTAAACCAATGATGAACATTTACAGGGAACTATGGGAACCTTTCCTAATAATCTTCCTTTTAAAGTGGAATGAAAAAGGAAGACATTCATTCTTTTATTCCTTTTATTTACGTAGAAAACCAGTTGTCATATTTCTCGTGTTAACACGTTTTAGTCAACAAGACAGTGAATTTTCATCGAAATACACACGTGATGAAATATCATGCATTACCAAAGAATACGTTTAGATCTAAAGGGTTTATCATTTGTCTTAACATCTATAACTTATAATTACATTAAGTCCTTCTCCGTGTTAAATTTGAGGTCTGTAAGATGCTGGAGATGAGTCACGTATCGTGTATTACCAAAGAATACGTTTAGATCTAAAGGGTTTATAATTTGTCTAAAAATCTATAACTTATAATCATATGAAGTCCTTCTCCATGTTAAATCTGAGGTCTGTAAGATGCTGGAGATGAATTAATGCGGTATCCGGCGATCTCACATTTTGCGCGGAAGCCATTTTGAAATTGTAAAAAAAGGAAACAAAACAGACGATTCGGATAATTCTGGACCGATTGAACTGAACCGCGATATCATTTTAGCGTATCGTGAATTGAACCGTGGAAAAATATACTGCGATATACCGTCAAACGGTTTATCGTTGCACCCTTATTACATATTATGGATTTTGTCTGGTCAATGATTGCATTAAATCCATTAGATAAATGCAGTTCCATATTTCTCCTATGCACCATGTTACATTGTTCTACTATTGTATGGGCCAATACAACATTCAGCCTGGACATAATGGAAATATACAGTTACATGATATGTTTTCTGAGTTGAATTTTTATGTTTTTTATGATAAAGAAATGTTGAATAAAGGCATTTTCCTATAAAACTTGATATTAAATGACCTTTTTTTATCATCAGATAGGGGAAATTAAATACACAGCAAAGGAGCCAACAAGAAACAAGAAAGGAGAATTAGTTTTTCCAGATTTTCCAGAATTCCGTCCAAATATGTCACCCAAAGAAGTTCTGCAGGCTGGCAGTTTTGGCGGAACTTACTTCCGTCCAATCAAATCATCTGTTACAGGTGAGAAGCTAAAGTATTTTAAGTATTGAAAAAGTTTATACCATGCACAACAGGCATGTGAGTTCATAAAAAATAAATTCACAATGAACTGATTAATGTTGTTAAAACTGAACACCAGTATTAAAATTTACAAGTCTTAAAGATGAAAAATACTGTAATTCCTAATTATAAGTAAGGAATCAATTATCATGTAATTATGCGAGAAGCAAAACTCAAGAAATAGAATTACTCACTTTTATATTTATTTTGCTGAAATCAATGTAAAATCTCTTGCGATTTGATGTCAAAGAGCCATTTCGTGAAAATAAGTACTCGCCAAAAATATGGAATCAACAGTAGCTCCAGTCTATAATTATAAGTTTGGCTTTGTTAGTGAAAAATTATGTGGAAAAAATAAATTGCATCTAGAGCATTTAGCATGTGATATTTGAGGAATGTTTTTAAGTTTTGTGTGAGTTATTGGTGTGTAAATCACACAGACTTGTCATGTAGGCATATTTCATGAAGCGCGCTAGCGCTTCCATGGCCGTAGGAACCGGGGGGGGCACGGGGGTCCGTGCCCCCCCAATACTTTTGCCGATATATAGAATACTATAGAAAACATAGCTGCTATATGCTTGTGCCCCCTCATTAATAACGTTTGATGAGCTTTTTTTTTCTTTTTTTTTTTTTTTTGCTTGTCAGGGAATTTTGGTAGTTGATAGTGCCCCCTCAACTGAAAATGTATGGTTGTGCCCCCTCAAAGTGAAATTGCTTCCTACGGGCCTGGCTTCATGAATTATATGTCTACATGCAAGTCTGTGTGATTTACACACCAATAATTCACACTAAACTTAAAAACATTCCTTATATTTACATTTTGCCTGTTTAAATGCACCAAAAATATACTCAATGTTTGAAATTCTCGCTGCCCTATATTGTCATATTTTTATTAACGTCTCTGTAGCCTCATTGTGATGTCACTTTAGCGCGAGTTCCTCCATGTATATTTCTACACGTGAGTATACACAAAAATGGTTTTCAAATCAATTTCACAGTTGGCTTAGTAGAAAAAACACAGCAAATGTAAATATTGACATTTATGCTCTCCTTCGAAGAAGGGAGGGCATATTGCTTTACTGCTGTCTGTCGGTCCACCAACAGTTTCTGTTCGACATTTTCTTTGCAGAGGTTGCACATACTGAAATGAAATTTGGTATACAGTTTAATCATAAGAATATCTAGGCCAAGTTCTGTGTTGGGTACAATTGATCCATTTTTGACAAAGTTATGTCCCTTGGACTTGGAAAATTCCAATTATGGGGGGAGCATAAGTGTTTTACAAACATCTCTTGTTGATGTAGATTCCTTATAAACATACTTTTTTCTCTTTCCAAGAATTGATAGGTCATCAAAAGATGATTGAAAAGACACTGTCAGACAGTCTTTTGGATTCTTTAATTCAAGGTGCTTAAAATGTACTCAAACGCTAAAACCTTAACAAGTTAGACTTTGTCATTTGGTGCCATAATGCACTTGTGGCTAGTGATGAGATGAACTGTGATAGTTGTCATATTGAGGCCTTTGAGAACATTGTATACAACAAGAAATGACAACAACAAAAAAGAGCCAATAGTCGACTTGAAACATGCAAACTCATGACTGATTTCTTTTTCTGCAGGTAAACAGTATAAAGATGAGGCTTTCAAAGAACTCCCCAAAGACTGGACAGAGGGTCTTAACATTAAAAAACAGGTTAATGAATACAAACAGCAATATATTTTTAATTAAAATACATGACCATAGGAAATTATTTTTATGAATTTAATAAGTTCAAAAGTGGATGCCAGAAATTTAGAATAAAAGCTTAGACAGGTTAAAGGAAAATCAATGATTTTGTTTTTAATATCTTTCTAATATAGATACAGTTTTGAAATACAGTATCTCGAACACTGTTATCTCGAATACCATGGATATTTTGAAGTGATTTAGAGGTCCCAAACACTTATTCTTTAAGTATTGTACCCAGAATATGTCAAATCCACTGATATCTCAAAGTGTTTTCTCAGTCCCACTGAGTTTGAGATAACGAGGTTTGACTGTAGTGCATATCTGGACTGAGAACTATTACTTAAGTGTATCACATCACAGGCGACCTCTTCATCTTACAACGAGTCAGTAAATACTTGGTATCGTTGATGACAGGTAACCTCTTCATCTTACAATGAGTCAGTAAATACTTGGTATCCTTTATGACAGGTAACCTCTTCATCTTACAATGAGTCAGTGAATACATACAAGGTGAAGTGTGGGGGAAGTCTGGAGATGTGGGAGGAGAGTGGGTGGATCCACAAACAAGACCCATATGGGTGGTTCCAGTGGTACTGCAGGTAAATATACACTGACTTGTACAAGTGGTTCTAGTGGTACTGCAGGTAAGTATACAGTGACTTGTACAGATGGTTCCAGTGGTACTGCAGGTAAGTATACAGTGATGTGCCACAATTAAAAAAAACTTCTTAAGGTTTTTGACCAGATATGAACAATGCATGAAATGAAGATTTTTACCTTTATGAGGTATAAAATATATTGAATTTTTAATAGACCAACAATTATTACATTTGAACTGGTTGTGGCAAATATTGCAAAGTCTTTTTCAATATTTAAAGCTTGAAACTTAAAAATAAATCAATAAATAAAACAAGTTTTAAACCAGTATTATTAAAGAAAACAATTTCCGCTGTAGATTCTATCAAGGAAGGAGGACCCTTGATGATGAGCGACAGGTGGGGAGATGGTTGAGGTGTGCAGGACCCACAGGAAGATGGAAAAACAACCTCATCTCCAAGTGTTACCGCAGTGGAGCACGATATAATGACCCCAACATCTCCCCCGTGGTCAGACAGACCCTACAACACTGGGGGTACAGGCTAACGGAGGAGGACTACCTGGCCAAGGAGAAACAGCTTAAGAGAAAGAAAGTGGTTTAGATAGCCTTTGAAAGATTTCTGGTCATTCAAAGCAGTTATTTTGGTATGGTAAAAGTATGAAAAGGTCTGTAAGAAGAAGATAAATGGTGTGGTACAGAAAAAATCATAAGCCAGAAAGATTTGTCCAGTACAACAAATGCATAATGAATATGAAACTAGGACAGAGATGGACACAGGTTGAGATGAGATTATCTAGAGAACTTACAAACAATTCTGTCATTTTTAAACAGTACTGAATTCCTTAAAGTATTTTTTTCTGTGAAGTATTCTGTCGTAAAAAAAAGTATGTTTTGGAATCATTGAAGGATGTGGATAAGTAACAGACATAATTCCACTTAAAACATTGCTTTTAACTATTATCATTACTTTGCATATAATGTGTTTCCGCATCAGAAAATGAATGTACAAATAAGTATAGCTATGTTATTGCCATTCATTTTAGTCTGTAGTTTGATATTTTTATGTAACTACATAATCAGTGAGAATTGTTGGCTTGAAAAGCTATAAAATCCCACATTAGTATTAGAATTCAATTTTGTTTTTAAACATTCAATGTATTTTACATTTTACTAGATGAGTGATTGTAAAGTGTCATACCCATGTTTACTTAGATTAGTATTTTTAAAAGCATAATTGTTATATGTTTTTAAAACAATATTACCTCAAAATTGTCATTTTTTTAAAGCATTCATATGTCAAATAAATATATGCAGCCACTATATATTATTTTTATTGAATATTTGCTTTATTCTATGTATTCATGTAAAGCAGAATTAATTCAAAAACTTCTATATGAAAAGAAGAAGTCTCTTGCTGTGACCCTCAAAATGAAGCCAAAAAAATCTTCAGTTTCTCAGGCGTAAAAATTTCAAAATTCAATGAGGGAGATAGTTTTTTTTTCTTTTTTAGCAGTTATCTCTTATGTCTGTCAATTATCAAATTATTGCTATCAAATGGTTCTTATTTTTTCCCCTTGCATTCATTACAACATGTTCCAACTTTAAATAATGTTATTCCAACCATATGTATAAAATTTAATTCATAAAGTACCATATTTTCAAGAAATATATTTAGCATAGAATAAAAAACATCTATTAGCATGTATGAAAAGGAGAATAGTTAAATTTTCTTTCAGTACATAAAAATGGAGAACTGAGTTATTTCCCTTTTCAATATACGTAAACATTGATCAGTGAGGCAGGATTTGACCTTATGAGACGGTGTATTCATACCCCCAAGGGTAATCACTCTGTCTGTCTGTCTGTCATTCTTCCATCCACAAATTTTCTGTTTTTTGCTAGTAACTTTTTTTTAGGGTTGACCAATTAAGTTCAAATTTGGTATGTTGGTTGAAAAGGCAGTAAGACATATTTTGATGCTAAGTTTGGTTCTCTGTGTCATCCGGTTTGGAGCTGGGGTGGTGGGGTAGATTCCTTAACTTTATATAAGAGTGAATGGGCAAAGAGAGATAACTGCTGAGGATGTACCTACATGTATTGTAAACTATGAAAGGCTGCAGTGAGTCTCTTGGGATTAATTTACTTTCCTCTTGAAGAAAATCCAAAGCATTTATCTTTATCTGTCACATTGAGATTAATTAACACCTCTGTCTGCAAATAAAGTTTATTTTGAAGTTAAGGTCAATTCTGAATGAATTTCTGAAATGTTGATTTAAATAATGTTCATACTTTATTTTGGTAAAATGCACAATGAATTATGATTTTATTGAATTCTAAAGACAAGATATAGATAAAAATATCTTTTTTTATAATTTTTTTTCTTTTCCTTTTTTTTTCCTTATGTAAATTCAAGAATACTATTTATTTTAACAGGTATTCAGATTATAACCTCATTCTATCATTGCTGAAAAAGTTCTTATTGTAAACTTAAGAAGAACAGGTTGAGGGAGCAGTATAATTAATCCCCTGGAATTGATTATCTTGCTGGTTGCAGAAAATTGTATAGGGTTATCTTTCTGTCCTTTTATGATTAATTAACACCTTTGTCTGCAACTGATGTTTGTTTTGAAGTTAAGGTATTTACATTCACTGAAGGCTGGTATTTTAGAAAACACTTGCTTCATTCTTCTTTGGATATACATTTGATTTGAGTTATTATAAATATGATGTTTTTTTACTGCCTTATGTAAATACAAGGACACTATTTAAAGGTTGTTGGATATTTAGCAGTTGCTGTTGCTCATTCTTCTTTATTTTTAATATTTTGTAATTAAGTAAAATTCTCATCCCCTAATCTGTACCCTTATATTTCTACCTCTCGGCGGGGCCCTTGCTGACTGGTCAGATTTCTAGTTTTCATTCCTTCTTTTTTGGACATATCTCGAAATACAAGACCCAATAGAGTCTAGCATATCTGTTTTCATAATTGGATATTTTACCAGAAAAAGACATAACAGCAAACTAATAAGAAAAGTTAACAAAAAAAGTTGATGACTTCAGCATTTCTGTTGTCAACTTCCCTTATTATTTTATGTCGCCACATACCATTTTCACCTGCATATAGAGTTTATGTCTTCTAGTTGATTGGATACGAAAAGCATGTTCTACGTACGAAGAATTTCTAAAACAAGGCAAGCTATTGACAAATCAGTTGACGATAACAAGACTATGAAGAATCTCGTGTAAGTTAACATTTCGCAAATTCTATGGTCGATATAATGGCCTTGTTAGCAAATAAATCTATCGTTGAGTCGAATGTTGACTGGCGTTTTTCATAGAAATGGTTACGTAGTAATTTACGCACTGAATGGTCTAGAGATTTTTCCGTTTTCCCGATCATGACAGGGATCACACAGGCGGGTGACCAGTCAACAGGGATGCTTATTCCTCCATAGCACCTCATTCCAATAATGATGTTTTTAGGGAGGGGTCTGTGTTTGCTCTGCTCCCAATTTGTTTTCTTCCAATGGACTTTTTTCGTTATTTTCATGTTTCATTTTAAATACCCTTATGCTTATTAGGCCCCTGCCATTAAAACAGAGGGCACTTACAGGTTTTCTCTTCGTATGTGAATCTTTCTGTCAGTTTTTCCCATTTAGTTTTCTGACCTCCTTTCCTACATGCTTATAGATATTGAGCGTATTAATTTTTTAATGGGGGTTTTGAGGTTTCCTTGTTGAGATGCAGTTAAATTGTGTTCCATTCCATCCGTTTTATCAAGCATATGTAAAAACGGAACCCGTTTTGTATTTACACGCATAGGCAACCATTGACGGCCAGAAACAGACTAGATGGCAAACGGGGAAAACTGGTGACACTAGAGAGACAGCTGGCTGCCAGAAATAAACTGTTGACGAGTGAAAAGGGGAAAGCCTCCTTTGTAACATATTGTGAGGGGACAACGAGGAACGCCTATTAGAACAACACCTCCAGAGTCTCCGAGAGGGGGAATGAGAGGTTCAACACTCAAAACGGATGATCAGATGGAAACAAATCGGCCGAATCAATTATGAGAATCACAGTACAGAAACCATGGATGGAGGAGTTGCAGAAGCAAAATGTTAAGCGTGGCAAACTCTGAAAGAAGGCGGGAGATCTAAGGATACACAAATCTAGATTTGGATGCAGTGTTGTGGTGGATGCAGTGGTGGTACAAACGCAGCGCATGATTTTACCGCCTATGAGTTGCAGGAAATCCAAGCACCAGGACACACCACAGTGTTTGGAATCTCTGAGATTCTGAGTCAGCACTCAACAGAGCCGCAGATCTAGTGGAGGTCAATTAACCGCAGGCAGGTCACATGCCGCAAGAAAGAGGGTGTGTGGCCTAAGATAGAGAATGCCACATTATGAAATAGCTTTGACAGATACGTCATTGCAATTTTGGAAACAAAATTGCAAGACAATTAATGCAGAGGGGAAACTTGACACACTTCCCAACCTAATTTACAACATCGGGAAAGAAAGATTTTGCATTGAGGAAGCAATAACATCAAGGGGCACTTAAAAAACAACAATAGGGGAGTGTTGAGAATCAGAAAGTGTGCTGGAGAACTGATCATGAGACAACTCAACAAGCAATTTAAAAGGGCTCCAGAAGTAGACACAGTTGGAATAACTGTACTGACAGATGCTAATAAATCAGATTTGAATCTTGCCAGACTGAGACGAGTAGAAAGAACAAAAAGGATGTCGAAGCGAAGAACATGAGACAAGGCATGGTTTCTGAAAGTTCTGTTCAGGTTCACAAAAGAGTTGCTTTGCATAGAATGATTTAGCACATTGCAATGCTCAGAGGAGGGGAAAAAAGCAGCATCTGAGGGAAAGCCACTCAGACCACAAATGAGGCGTCGATCTGAACTGTATCAAGCAATGTGGAAGTAGTACCACCGATAAGAGAACTAACTATAGATAGCAAGGAAACAAAATGGATTAGGATAACATCCATTATAAAGAAGGTTCTATCTGGACCAGCCCAGGAACCATCAGGGTAAAACACAATTTTTACAAGGCTTCCAACATACTACAGAAACTATTGGGATTGTACAAAGTCATCTGAAAAAAGGGACAGTGTCGGAGATATTGAAACAGGTCGAGAGATCCTTCGTTCCAAAGGAGAACTCTAAGATGGTCAACTCAGGACAAAAATTTCTTCTCAACACTGAGGGAAAAATCTTCCTATCAGTTTTAGCAAAGAGGCTGTCAGATTGCATGTTGAGAAGCAAATACATCAGCACTTCTATCTAGAAGGGAGCCCAAGGTTTCTCTGGATATGTGAAGCACATCACCATTAAGTTCCAACTTATCAAAGAGGCAAAAATAGGTAAGAAGGATTTAACAGTGGTTTGGCTTGTCTTGCTAATGCGTTTTCTTTTATGCTGCATAAGTTTAAAGAGGTAGCGATACACTTTTCATCTATCACAGCATGTGAAGAACATTGTCAACAATTACTAAAGGGTTTACAATAGAGAAGCAACAATTTGGAAAGGGAATTGAACGATCTCACCAATACTGTTTGTTATGGGGATGAGCTTGATGAGGACTGCTGCAGAAAGAGAAACAAAAAGACCAAAGATGAATTCAGGAACATACCACCATTTAAACGAGGCTTCAGGGACAAAATAACAGTGACTATATCCACACAATATAAGCCAGCTAGGTTCTAGCTTCACTGAAGGATACTATAACTTGGGAAAGCATGAAGTTTAAACCAAAAATAAAATCTTGGTGTTTGGTTCTGAAGAAGGAACGAATCAGTCAATATTCCAAATGAAGGTCCAGGGCGAATAAATTCCAACAATAGATGACAATCCCATAAAATGCCTTGGTAAGTGGATCGATTCATCACTGACAGACAGTAACCAGTCAAGGGAACTAAAGCATTTTGCAACATCATGGCTGGAATCTTTCCGAGACTAATGTAGATGGTGCTGATTGATGAGGTGTCAACGACAGTGGTAAAGGGCTTGTATAATTCAGTTAATGGCTACGTACGAAAATGGTTAGGAGTTCCACCAACCTTTGCCTCGATGGGACTCTATAGCAAGACATCTCCGCTCCAGTTACCCCTTCATTGGTAACTGATCATGAAGAGTTCAAGTTTGCCAAATGCATAATAGTGATGACTTTACGAGACTCAATAGATCAAAAGGTCCGTGATGTCGGATCATTGATTGAAGAGTTCAAGGTGGCCAAATGCACTACTGTGATGGCTTTACGAATCTCATTAGGTCAAAAGCTCCGTGATGCTGTTGTTCAGACAAGGTCAAGACGCACTTGGTCGGCAAATACAGCAGTAGACCAGTAAATAGCATACTGGAACTACGAGAGATAACCGGCAACACATGCGAATTAAGGCAGAGAAGGATTTGGTGTGTCACATTTTCAACAATGGGCCAAGGCTGACAAGACCAAGAGGATAAGCATGGTCCGTGGAGAGGTGAGAAGAGAGGGCAAAGATGGATGAAGCTCAAGATCAGAAGAACTCAGTAATTAAGCAGGGGATTAATGGATGAGATAGGATCTGCCAAAACGCACATCACATTATCAGGCTTATGGAGGATGAATCAATTAAGAATTATGTTTTTACTGCGATCGGTTTACGATATACTACCTTCACCTGCAAAACAGTGGGACTCAAAGAAGATCCTGTATGCATGCTGTGTGGGAAAGGGGGCACTATGGCCCAAATCTTATCTGAGTATTCAGTTGCACTGAAGCAAGGCCGGTACAGATCGATGGAAACATGAAAAAGTTTTAGGGGAACTTGTTGACGTGGTGGAAAAGGAGAGGACAAGAAATAGATTGATTGATTGTATGTTGTTTAACGTTCCTCTCGAGAATTTTTCACTCATATGGAGACGCCACCACTTGCCACTGGAGGGCTACAAATTTTGACATATACTCGACACTTACGGCCATTGAGCAGTGAGGGATCTTTTTCTTGCCACCACCTACTGCGACACTTGACCTCGGTTTATACGGTGTCATCCGAAGGACCGGTCTCCATGTCCCACAGTGGGATTCGAACCCGCGACATAAGGATCAACTCCTTACTCCGCGACTCTATAGCAGACGCTTTAACCACTGCGCCACGCGGGCGACGACAAAAAATAGGAGATTTGTAAGAAGTCAGAAGACTTCGTTAGGAAGGGTGCAAGACTTTATAACAATAAAGGATACTCGACATAGGAAGAGACTGGGAACGTAGAGTGGATCTGAATAGGAAGCTTGTATTTCCAGCTATTTCCCTGATATTTCCTGTTGAGGCTGGATGCAGGGGCTCCCCAGCCCAGTCAGTGTGGAAGTTGAGTAGTGGTACCGGTGTCATCACTGCGAAAACATGATAGAGGCAGCTTAAATGTCGTCGATCAGCTGAGTGTGGTACAGACCAGAGGAGCCGAACTGGATGACTGGAACCAAGAGAATATGTTTGGCATTCACTGATTTACCAACTTGAGGATGTCATGCATGGTCTGGGGAAAAACATTCGGTAAAGGATGACGTGGGACCCAGGCGGAGGGTGTGGCGAACTCAAGTCAAATATGGACAGGATGCTTGAATTTTGTTGCAGATTTAACGTCATCTTTTAGAGTCATTGTATTAATGGAATCGTCTATTTTGGTAGATAAAGCTTTCCAAATTATTTGTCATAGATTTCCAGACACTTTTTTTGTCACGGATGCTTTTAATTTCCCTTAAACCTTTCACTTTTCTCTGTCAGAGAATATCTTAAGCAGATAAGAGAAAGTTTTATTTAATTAAAGCATACCAGTACCAAATTTATAGACAGTTGTAAATATTTAAAAAAGAAAAGAAAAACAAGTGTACATTGTATTTGATTTCACTTGTCAATTTGATTTACAAGCATGTTACATTATTTTACCTATTTATTAGATATTTCGTAATTATAGTAAAATGCAATCCAGTTTCAAACCATTATTTAAGACACATTTACTAAAACATTCTATGAAGTCATGTACAATCTTTATTACAACCGATGTATAAGAATTCAAGTGTTTGTTTTTAAATTACATAGAACGTAACATTTCATCAACAATAATTGCTATGTTCAGGTTTTTTTTTTTTTTCGTTGGTAGTTGCATCTTGTACCAATTTTCACTGTTTTAGAAATATTTATGTACAATCATGTATTTTAAAGATTGCATGCAAAACTCTGGAAAGAATTTCAAAACACACTTATTCACACTATAAAATATGATAATCCAAACATTGAAATCACCCGTTCTCTCGAGCAGGAAACATAGAAGATTCTTTTTACAGTGTGTGAACCAAATATTTGAAAATATAACGAAGAATTAAACGTTGATTGATTTTGTTGTTTATCAAACCTCGAGTCGGCAGTTAAATCAGCGAACGAAGAAAATGTAACTAAGTAGCGCATGAAATGAAAAAGAATACCTAAATACTGGGGATATTAAAAGTATACTAGTACTTATGCATAAATTTCAACGCCTGAAGACTGAACAGTATTTCGTCAACGAGGCAGAAAACCAGGCGAGCTTACAGACTCTGATATATTAATACATAAGAATAATTCATTCATTTTGAAATGATCACAGTTTTCTCTTTAATTTGTCTCTTTAGAATGCCCTTTTGTTTTGGTGCCAGTGATTGGTTCTCTGATCGTTGTGTCGTGGGAGGTTGTGACGTGACTGACCGAGCAGTCAAAACATCTTCAAGCTCCAGAGAATTAGCTCCCTTGACTATAATAAATTCGTACAGCACCCAGTAGCGGCCCTTTGGATCGTTTGTTCCGGCAACTCGAACGCTTCCGCCGGCAGTTGAAGTTCGGACAGCCGCTCGCCAAACATCACCATTTCCTTTTTCAATTTTTCGTCCATTTACAACTGCTTTGATGATATCACTTGACCGAAACCTTATTTTTATCCACGTTTCTTCCGGAAGCTCGCGTGTCAGAGGTTCTAATAACTGGCAGTGATATTCTGAAGCGGAGGAATACATAACTGGAAATGGTAAAGTGTGTTTCATGGCGTCTTTAGTACAATCTATTAGATACAAAAGAACTGGCTCATAGTTCCCAGATTTGGCTTTACAAAAGATTTGCAATTTATAGAACCCTTTCTCTGGAAAGTGACCGCGTATGGATATTGCACTTCCAATGTTTTCTACCAATACGTAACGTTCTATGTTTTTTAGTGTGCATTCAGAGTAACTCACTTTAAATGAAACAGGGAATTTTTTTTCTATAGGTAAAGTCAACTCTAAAATGCCATCTTTTGGGGTTATAATAAGAGGTGAATCCACACCAGTTTGAAATCCGAAATCTCTGTAATCAGCTCGTGACCTCCAGACTCCGGAATGTTTTGGGTATAAAAACACCTTTGGCTCTGTTTGCCTACAACGCAATATGTATGACACAAGCGCATAAAGTGTTGTGTCGTTCTTGTCAACACTTCCGAGAATCGTCAACCGGAACTTCCCCACTGTTGGGGGGCGTATTCGAATGGAAAATAAGTTCTGGTCTGGATTTTGCACTAACGTATACTGTTTATGAACATTGCCATCTGTGTCCGTTAAACGCGCTGCAACATTGTTTAACATCCTCGTCGTCCCTTTTATAAACACAGTGGAAGACAACGTCACCTGAATGACAGCCTGTCTATGAGACACTAGATCCACGCCCCATTGGAAGGATTTGATCGTCCTTTTTACATTTTTATTAAATGTTTGTAATGTCAAAGGTTTCTGAAGAAGTTGCCAAGCTTTGCTTTCTTTCTTATTGTTGCCCATGTATGGAAAATGGGTAGAAATCAGCTGATCGGGATCGGTAAGGAAGTAATAGTTTTCAAATTCCCTGGTATAATGACCGTCATCATTCACGTGGCCTGCGCCCAAGGTACAGTCAACCAAACACCACTGCCCGATCACGTGAACAGCATTCCAAGCGTGATTGGTTGGCTGTGTGTACTTAAAAGGTTTAGTTGCGTTATATCCATAACCTTTTACAAATCCGTAAAGAGTTTTTACGGGAATGTTTGATAATCTACAAACAGAAAATATGGATGTTTCCAACAAAATACATAATACAGAGGTATGTTAATAAGATTTGATACAGTAGTATATTTAAAAATTAATGTTAGTATAAACAAAGGAGTACCTGCATAGCTCCGCAAACAGTTCAGCGTATCCATAGCAAAGGGCCACTTTTGTGTGCATTTTAAATTCAGCTGCTACAGGCTTCTTATAGTTATTGAGAAAGGACCGAAGATCTAGTCTGTAAAATACATATGGATGTTACATAGGTCAACAAATTCTTTGATAATGAAAGCAGCTAAAATGAAAATTATCAGTAACTGCATGAACTTTTAGTACGTATTTGCATAAATGACATAGGTTGATGATGTAACCATGGAGATATAACGCCTCTCTTCGAACACCCTGAAATCAATGTGGAATAAAGAGAGGTAACTCTAAATTTTCATACAAAGAAGTTGTAAGAAGTTATCTCTCTTTGAACACGAAAATTTGTTTTTGATCAGGGATGGGGTAATCGTAATCGAGTAATCGTAATCGATTGTAATGATTACTTTTTTTCAAGTAATCGACAGTAATCTGTAATCGAAGAGATTTTCGATTACTTGTAATCGTAATTTAATCGATTACAACTAAAATTTTCAATGTAATTATAATTACTTTTTCGATTACTTTCGATTATTTTATACATAAATGGATGTTATTTTGGAGAATTATTTCCAGTCAGTCACACATAAATATCAAATATAAACCACCTAGTGTAATGTTTGGATTTCCTAACTTTTATTATCATAAGTTTAATAATGTTCTCAATAAAGCTTGCATTATAGACCTTCTGGTCTAGTATTAAATAATTCAGAAGTGTATTTCAACCATTTATTAATGAAATATACAGATTTTTGTGTGCATTTTACATTTGACCCACTATCCTCTTGCTGCATGTCCTTTTTCATGTTTCAGATGTTGAAAAACTTGTCTTGTAATAGAAAATTGTAAATAGCAAAAACAGATTTAAGTGCTATATTATATGTAAATAATTTGGTAAATAAACTACATTGTACTCGAAAAAAAGAAGAAGATGGAAATACTTATTCATATCTGAAAATGTTTAAACAAATTCAAACTTGTGTTTTAGTAACTTTAAAATTTGAAAAATCATTCTCATGTTTTCATTCAAAATTGTAAGGTTGTTTTTATATCAGTGAGAGGTTATATAAGTGTTTGTAAGAAAGAGAGTGAGTGTCACTGTGTTTGCTTATCTTGACTAATTAATTGACTGAGACATCCCTGATTTGCAGATAATGAGGTGTAAACTGTGAACTTCCTAGTGTTTAACTTTCATTCCATGGAAGACAAACAATATTAATAAAACAATTAATAGCTCTCAAAACACTTATTTCAATACAGAATGAAACTGTGCTATTAGTTTGATTACTTAAAGACCCATTTAATTTATATGTTTATTACTAAGAGTTCTAATTTACTTGTTTTTTTTAAAAGACACGTACAGGAATGTTTAATGTGTACTGTCAACATACAGGCAGCCCAAATACTTCTAATGAAGTAATTCACAATAGAATATTAGATAATTTTTGCAACAAGTCAGTAAATATGGAGGTTCAGATCCAAGGTTGGAAGGAATAATTAATTCCTTGGCATATTTTATTGTAGGAATCATGTCTCCACTTTCCATGGTAGAGAATCCCTCATTCGGGCATTTCAATTCAATTCAATTTATTGACAATTACCATGTCGGCATACAGTCATGAACAATAATAACATAAAACAAATTAACACGATTAATACATACATACAGTGAGAATTAATACATACATTTAGTGAGAATGTTAGCCAGCATAAAACCTTAAAAGAATCTGCTCTGGAACTGCAGGAACACATTCAAACTTCAGTGGATAACATCAACATTTACCATTTAAAAATTGCTTTGATATTTGAAGGGATAAAAACTTGGAAGTAATCGATTATTAATCGATTACATCTTCCAAAGTAATCGATTACAATCGATTACAGGACAAAAATGAGTGTAATCGATTAATAATCGATTACACAAAATTCCTCTAAGTAATCGATTATTAATTGATTACATTTTTCAGTAATCGTGCCCATCCCTGTTTTTGATGGGAATTTTTAAGATGATAAGTCATAGCACTTTTAAGTTTTTAACAGATAAACACAGAGTTTTGCTATACTTTATAGATGACTTACTCCACATGGTTACATATCCAGTGGTAGAAGGCCCGAACTCGTCCCAGGTTGGTCTTAGACGCCTTGGACAAATACTTGGCGAGGTTATGGACGGAAAGATCAGTGGACTTGGGAGCCTGTAACATCAAAAAATAATTCGTTCTTTAAGTTGTGACCGCTTTCTGTATTTTGTTGTTTATTTTACGAGGTTTTTTGTAAACTGATCATGACATTCTTTTTTTTTCCCCTTCTCTTCGGGTATATATTATTTTTAAAATTTGAAAAAAAGACAAAAGACTTATTTTCCTTATTGATGACTTCTATCATGTTATAAATTTTGAATTTATTAGGTGGGGGTAGGTGCAAAATTTAAACATGACTTTCGTAAAACTCATATTTCATCATTAAAAGTTGAACAATTTTGAATGGCATGGAGGAGGCAAGTTCTAACCATATATTCAATAACTAAAACTTCATGAAACAGTTCAATATCTATATTGTCTGCAACATCATAATGACCAGGGAATAATCATTCAATTAATTTTTAAAGTTTTTCCTTTATTTTTGCTTGAAATTTAAGTTTGCTGGTTCTGTTTATAATTATTACATTTTTTTGTATTTGAGTGAACTTTATTGGGTATATATGTACGATATCATACATTTTCAAACTTTATATATAATCGTGTATAATATTTACAAGTCTATTCTTACGCAAGATTCTCTTGATTACTTGTTATACACTAACTTTTGCTGCGTAACTGTCGACTTTTTTGAACATCGATAGATCGGAAATGACATCATCTCTTCTGAGACTGGGCGGGATTGGTGCCAAATCCTCGTCAACGATTGGTTGTACGCTGATTAAGCGGGTCTCGGGGAGAGTTGTGACGTCAGTGATCTCACAACAGGGTTTGGAGGAACATCTACCCATATTTCATCCCATCGTCTGAATCACATTTATGACGGATATCTGTGATTGAAATAGAAGCATTAAAAGGGCGATGCTATCAGGCAAAAAGAAAGAACTTAACATGGAAGATTTACGGGAGAAATTGTATTGGGAAAAAATCTTTTTGAGGGAGGAGGGGGTTCGATTCTTTATCAAATTTAAAGCTAGTACAAAATAACTTACTTACTGCTTCATAAAACTTTTGATTAATATTATTGTAGAGTAAAATATATGGCAAAACGATGAGGGAATGAGTCAATGCCCCCTTCCTCATTTTACCACGCACAGTCACTTGTTTTAATTTTTGACGAATTTTCTTGTTTCCAGAGACACGGAGGAAGGGGGGAGCAAAAAATATTAAAATGATAAGGATGGTACGGTTATATAGATACATATGTGGGAGCTATACCGGAATAACTAGACAACTCCTACAATGGGAAGGAAGAAAATGAATAAAATTATAAAGATATTCAATTCTTTGAACAAATGAATAGATGAATGTTACAAAGAAATTATATGCATTTTCACCTGTCATATGTAAAACAGTTCGATTCTTGGTATCCCGTTCCTTTTCATGCAGGTTAATTCTCTGCAGGATTTATACATGATTTTCGATAAGAAATAGATACACTGTTTCATATGGTCCATTAAAGCTAAATCTTCTTTTTGTCTTTTTTCCCCTGTTTTCTACGTATCCCTTGGTAAACACAACCATGCAAACATTCCACTTGTTTATCCCCAAGGTAAACAAAACATCGATAACATCGGACACACAATTTTGATAATCCAGTGAAAAAACGGGTGAAAAATAATAAAAGCACAAATATCGTAAAGAAAGATACAGGCAGTTTTTTTTGGATACACAATTCCGAAGTTCGAAAACGTTGAGAGAGAAAAAATATTTCAAAAGATCAATCTTTACTCTCGCTTTCTCAGTAGATATTGAATAAAACACATTTCCCTTATTTAAATTCACAGTACGGATGAATTGTCACGCACTTAAAACAAAGAAGTGTTTTAAATTAGTGTTATTTAAAAGACGTCACTGCATGTTCTCTTATCTAAAATTAAGCTTGTGACTTTAAATAACGCGTAAACTTGTATCTTTAGTATTCTCTCTCTCTCCCTCTCTCTCTCTTTAGCCTATATAATGTCGAAGGGAAAGTACCTTTGTATCAGTATAGTTCTAAGGAAATTAAAGTAATTCTTGTTAAGGTTTCGATGGGTATTTGTATTTTTTTTAACATAATTGATATTTGATACTTGGCAAGTATTTTTTTTTTTTTCATATATATGAAGCCTATGACTAAATAGGTTTCTTGTTTAGGAATGAATTTTTTAAAAAAAAAAAAAAATCTTTTTTTTTCAACCACTGCAGTATATAGAAAACAAATTGTCCAGGGATATTTTGATATTTTTATTTTATCTTAATATTTTTGCCTTGAAATTCCATTATTATTAATTTCTGCAATATTTTAAACAGATGAATTAGCTATAATTTCTATGAATTATGGTAATATGAGGTATTTTATTGTAGTGAACATTAATAACAAGCACAGGCACTCAGGGAATGGAACACCCCCCCCCCCCCCAAAAAAAAATGTTTTCTTTTTTAAATCTGAGATCGACACATTTTTTTCCTAATTATATTTTCTAATCTGCATTATATCTTAACAGTAATGTAATCATTTCGTCTTCATTATCCTTTTGGGAAAAAATAAATAAAATAAAATCACGTCTTTTCGAATGAAACTAGCTTAAAAACTAATCTTCCTTTTAATGTGTCTGTCGATTTCAACGCAATTTTACGAATAGATTTCTCAATATCAAAAATATACAATATTTGTTGCTTACGGAGTTTTGTTCATACATTGTAATTTTTCCAATCCCTGTTTTAAAGATACACGCTAACAATTTTTTATTTTAAAAAATGGATATACTGGATCGGTATATTTTTGGGATTTATTTTCTTTGTATATAAGGCCTAGATAAATAAATTAAATAAAGTTTTTCCCCGTTCCCCCACCAACCCTAAATAATATGAGCCGACCTTGAAAATTTTTCTGACGTTGTATACTTTCTGGAAGTAGACCATTCTGGTTTCTCTTAATTAAAAATCCTTATACATGTATCTCCGTTTTCCCCTGACTATTTTAGAAAACACATATATATTTGCCACCGATTTCCCCATGCAGGGAATATATGGTACCATAAGCCGCCTTTTTTTTTAAGAAAAGATGTAATCATTATTTATCTTTAAAATATTGTTTATTGTCACAGTTAAATAATAAAATGTTGAAATAAAATAAAGGTTTTTCCTTCCTATCGTCTTTTTTAATGTTTGAATAATATACCTATTTATTTATCAAGGCCTTATTTAATGCATATATATCAGCTATATATTGTTAAGAAATTGTAGACATCTGTGATGTTCAAATTTCTTTCTCTTTGACATCAACTTTATAAATCTATAAAAATTTATCACTTTGTTAATATAGTATCGCGATACATTAATGTGGGACTTCGAATGAAAAATGATCATTCATTTTACTTATAATGTTAACATGGATTTAGTTGTTATTTTCACATATGCCATGACTTTTACAAAAAATTGGCTTGTATCATCAGTCCTTTACAAGAAAGAAAATAGTAAACTGTGAAATACATCCGACTCTGGCCTTCGATTCTTTATTCAATGTCTGATTTACTAAAGCGGAAGTGACTGCTGCTCGAAATGATGCAGGGTCACATTGACTGGAAACCGTCTATCATCTCTACTTCCGGCTTGATGTGTAGACAGACGTGTACGTTTGTGTAGACAGAAACCGACATAAACATGCCTGGGATGCAATTTGAATACGATGAGGAAGGAGGAACCTTCTTCTATTTTTTGTTTTCTCTATGGGGACTCGTTCTTATTCCCGCCACGTATTATTTTTGGCCCAGGAAATCTGTAGACGGTAAGAAACTGTCGCTGATGACACACAGCTGTTCATTTTGTCTAATGGTAAAATTTGGAGGCTCTTAAAAAAAATTTAAAAAAATTATTTTGTTGGAATATTATTTTATGATGATATACAGAGACAAGAATATTATGCACAGGATGTGTATTGAAGTTTCACAAGTTGAATCAATATTTTGCAATTAATTTGCGAGCAAATGGTAAAGTAGTGATGGTTGCATCACTTGCATGGAAAATGAATTCACCATATGACTGATCTTGAATTTAAGTATGCTGTATGTGAGAGACAAGATGTGAAAAGTGTAATTTAAAACATCTTACTTTAGGGTAACATGCCATAGAAACTTGTTTCTTGATAGAATATTCTAAAGATTATGAAAATTAAAACTGTGGTGCTGAAGTTTATATGGCATATAAACACTATGATATAGAAAGGATGAAATCATCACTGAAAATACTTAAGTTACAAAGCTTTGATTTTTTTTCTGTACAGATGATAAAGATAAGAAGAAGAGAGAGTGTAATTGTGATCCTTGTGTCATAAAACGGCATCAATTAAAATCCAGCACAAAATGGAACAGAATGAAAGAGAAAGTTTTGTAAGTGAATTTATCAGTCAGGGGTGATACTGAAATCCGTCATTTTTAAAATGACGATTTTTAGTCATAAAATAAAATTTTTATTATGACTTAAACTCGTCATTTTTAAGAAAATGACGAAAAACAGTCATAAAAATTTAGAGTGTTTCTAGAATACCGAGTTACCTCTCTTTGAAAAATGTTAGATCCACCAGCCGAAAAAAGGACAAAAAACATCGTAAACAAACTTCATTTTTCTAATACAGTTGACTACAATACTGGTTATGTCGACAGTACAAATTTCCCAAGCAAAAGTAAGAGTGGAAGAGTTATTTGTCAATTTATTTGCATTAAATAGGAAAGAAGATGAAAATGACGATATGCCGTCTTTTTTCAAAATGGAGGGTCTGGGCGCACTGAAATATCTCGCTTGTTTTACGGGGCGCACTACTTTTTTATGGCTTTAACTTTTTGTCGAGACTTTTCTCCACAAGTACATATTCTTCCAGACGGTGTACTATATGTTTTTATAGGTTTAAAAGCCATGTAAAATGGCAAATTAGTTCTACCAAAATTCGACATTTTACCGCTAAATAATAACTTTCACCTTCCATGTTGATGTTCTAACGCACGTGGTCGGCAGTAATTAATGACCCGGATGAAATGAAACTTGCGAAAACACTCTTCTTTCAGCGGTGAATTCAAATTTCACTTTTATGTAACCAGGATAGAAGAATTAAGTTGAAAAAGAAAATATGACGATAGTAAGTCATATTGACAAAAATGACGAAAATACGTAGTTAGTAAATATGACGATTATCCATCATTTTTCAGAAATGACGGATTTCAGTCTCACCCCTGACTGTTTATTGCTATTATCATATACAGTTAAACTTCGGTATCTCAAACACTGATATCTCAAATACCAGGGATATGTTGAGGTGATTTGATAGTCCCAACCACTTATTCTTTAAGTATATTACCATTGTTTTCTCGAATCCTCGGATATCTCTTACCCGGTACTTTTTTCTTGGTCCCATCGAGTTTGAGATAGCAAGGTTTGACTGTAGTTAGCATCAGAAGAGTGATGATAAGTTAACCATTATTAAGGTGAGGCTTATAGTTTATGTTTTTTTTATCATTTTGATATGATAAAATTATCATATTTCTACATTTTGTGAATACATTCTCATTAGTTAAAATTTAAAACATATTCCTGCAGTTTATAGATAGAGCACTTGTTAACGTACGTGGAAGAAAGTAAGGGATGAAACTTATAATCATGCTACTGATGCAAGTCATATAAATTGATAATGCTGATTTTTTTTTTAGGAAAGTGGTATTTATAATAGCTTGGATAATATTTGCCCTACTGGCCTACAAAGTTTCCCAGATCCATATAGAATACCAGGAATATGATCCATATGCTGAACTGGGACTGGATGTTGTAAGTTTTTAACTGAATCTACATTTTAACAGAGTGTAATCACCCCTCAAAGTTACATGTAGGGTTAAATAAGTCCCAGCTGAAGGTGGCATCTTCTATAAAGGAATTACATAAATACGTTTCAGATGGGAAATCATGCTTTAGAGCAAGTTCTGTATTATATGCCTTCCATGGAAACACAATCTCAATATTATTGAAAAAATAAATTAATGTTGTCCTTTTCTTAATTAAAGTATTAAATATAAATAGAAATGAATTTATTTAAAGAAAGAATTGATGATAAGCCATGATTTTGATGACAATATTGATCCTTTTATTACTACATGTATTATTATATTGGTGTTATAATTTCAACATTTCTTTATCGTCAACTTTGCAAAATGGCTTTGAGTCAAAATCATGACATATTTATCCATATAAATTATGAAATTTGAGAGTTAGATTTTTCCTTGGATCAATTTTTTTTAAAGTACAATTTGTAACATTGTTTGCTGATTGTTTCTTTTCTTCTTTAAAGCGTAAGTTTTGTACCCATGCATTATTTGTAGAGTTGATGAATACGACTCTGATACGTTATTTGTAGGGAGCAACAAAAGAGGAAATTAAGAAGGCTTACAAAAAACTAAGTTTGAAATACCATCCAGACAAACCTACAGGGGACCATAAAAAGTTCATGAAAATTGCCAAAGCCTACACAGCGTAAGTTTAGTGTAAATTTTTTGTCTTCAGTATTTTTTTTTATAAATACCATTTTTTAATGCAGGTCATTGAGTCTTTAAAATACTTATGTCTGTATGTCATGACTTTCTCAATAGAAAATTGATATAAATACTTAGTCCTGTAACAGGAAAGGAGAAAATGCATGGCTGGACCGGGAATCGAACCCGGGACCCCCATATCACTAGTCAGGTGCTCTACCGACTGAGCTAACCAGGCCGATATCCATGGCCCAAACCATTACATTCCTCCCTCCTTAAATTGTCTTCGCCCTCGAAGACACAGCCCAAGTTCTTATTAGCCCCTGGCAGGACTTTCACCTGCAAGTCGAGGGGTGGTCAGCGGCACCAAATCTGTAATAGGAAAGGAGAAAATGTATGGCTGAACTGGGAATCGAACCCGGGACCCGTGCATCACTAGTCAGGTGCTCTACTGACTGAGCTACCCAGCCGATATCCATAGCCCAAACCATTACATTCCTATATAGCCCACATAATGGTTTTGCCTGAAATTTTGAAGAATACAGTTGAATCAGTTTGTGTTAATGCACAGTGCACACTGTACTTTTGAATAATTCAGCACCCCAACACTGAAATAATTGCAGATATACACAAAGTCTACAAAACGTCTTCCAGTACAAAAGTATATACAAGTTTGACCTTTTTCTATTTATAGATTGACAGATGAAGAAACGAGGAAAATTTGGGAGGAGAGTGGTGATCCAGATGGTCCAGGAGGTAAGATTAATTGCAGTAGATATTGGCTTATACTGGGTTTAAATAATGACGCTCTTTAAAATTAAAAAAAAAGACTACAGAATATAATTTGCATGCATGTTCAACATATTCAATATCTAGCAAAATAGATTCATCTAAGATGTTGCAATTTAACTATCCAGTATTAAAAAGAGAAGTGGATTAAGTAATTATTAAATATTTCATTATATTACTTGAAATGCATATTGCAAATGAACAGTTGAAAATGGTTTATATATGTATAAACTTAACTGTATGAAAAGAATTTTTTTAGTCACCAGATTTGGTATAGCTTTGCCCAAGTGGATTGTGGAGAAACAGAATTCTATGTGGGTATGTCAGTCTTTATGTTCTTATAAAGTTAAAAAAAAATAGTGATTGAATGAATCATTTCAGCCATAACCTGGGGATGGGCTCTACCAAAATGGCTGGTGGAAAAACACAACGCTAAGTGGGTATGAAACAGCGCTGAGTAGGATAGTATTTCTACATATAATAGTATTTGAATTTAGAAAAGATGGGTCCAGTTCTACAGAAAAAAAAATCTCAGCTAGTTTTGATGCTTCATTGGCTTAAAGTTTCATGAGGAGAATTTTGTTTGTTGATGTTTTCGTCTGAATTTAGCTCTTTTCCTATGTGATCCAAATCTATCTTATTGATAATGCAATTATTACTCCTTGGAAGTTGCTTTACCTATATATAACGTAAAGAAATGGGAAGAATATATTCAAAGTGGAAAAAAATACTTGTGAATGTTTTAAAGTCAGTGTTTATTGCTTGTGGCTTCAGCTTGTTTCTCGTAGACTTGACTAGTGTATTCTTTAAGTGGATATACATGTATTTATATTAGGGATGGCAATCGATTACAGAATTGCTAATCGGTTATCCGCAAGATGTTCCGACCGGTTAATCATATCAAAATGCACGTTTTCTTGACAATTCTTTTTCAAGTAGCTCTGTCCATATACACAAATAGACCTAAATAAGATGATAGAAGTTAAAACATTCCATTACTTTTGATTCTGGATCAGAAAAATAAGGGTACATATTTTTTATTTAACTCTCAGTAGACAAGAAAAAATTGAGAAAACTATGAAAGAAATCTTTGATAATTTTCCAGAGCAGATGTCACAAAAGTTCTTTCTGCATTTTCACTTTGATAATCAAAACTACATGAACTCTATAGCCCTTAATTTACAATGTTTGTTTAACAATTACATGTAAATTGGATTGAAAACTGAAAACGACAAACACACAAATTCACAGTGCTCATTGATTCAGTTATTATCATTAAAGAATTACAGGACAGTCGGGGTAATGACATGGTGTTTTTACAGTAATTAACACTACATAAACTGTCCAATTACGCAACGGTCTCTATCTGAAAATTAATAATTACATGTACATCCAAATTAGATCCTTTCAATCCTAAATGATCATCCTTTGTGCAGAGATTTCTTTTTTTTTTTAAATAAATTTTTTAAAATTGTGTTCAATTTTATTTTTTCCGATTAATCGATTACAGTTTTTCTAATCGATTGTCATCATTCCAACCAAGTAATCGGTTAACCAGTTACAAATTGCCATCCCTAATTTATATGCAATATGACGCAAGTAAATTTAAGTTCATCTGATATTTTTACAGAGTGTTTATTTTACAGATTTAATACTGAGTGTGAATAACCTTACACTTTCAAAAATTTCATTATGAAAACTGAAGGTTTTGAGATAAGCATAAATAATCAGTATGTCATATGATTTTCTGAAATTTTTCTAACAAAAGTGTAGAATTTTATTAAAGAGTATTATATCTTAGTAAATCTCGGCAATCTTAGAAAAATAATGTACTTTTGATGATTTTTTTTTTTTGCAGTAGAAATAATTAACATTCAAAATTTTGAATGAGAATGATTTGCATGTATTTATCACTTTTTGCTGTGTCAGAAAGATGTTATTTGATACAGAATTAAATAGAAAATGATTTTAAAAATAAAAATGATTTTAAGTAAATTTTTGTTAAGAGTGAAGGTCCTTTATATAGTTGATAATTTCTGTGATGCTGTTCTATTCCTGTAGGTCCTGTTGGTTTATGGTCTGCTATTCATGGTCCTCCTGCCTGTTGTTGTGGTGAGTAGAAAATAATCACAGTCAAACTATCTTCACAAAGGATTGGTTTGAGAAAAAAAATGCCATGTAACCAGCTTATATACATGTAATTGACCAGTTTATCATGTATAATACATGTATTTTCAAGATATTCAGCTTTTCAGTGAGGATTTTCAATAATATTTGTATGAACAGAAGCATAATTTCTAGTAAAAGATCTTTTGCATTTAAATTTTTCCCTTCAAAACAAAATACAGCTACATGTATTTATCAAACCGAAGAAATAATCATTGAATTTATGTGCTCACATTTATTGTAATCAGAGTCTAAGTGATTATGTCTGGCCTTTTTCTTTGTTTATAGGGTGTTTGGTGGTACCGTTCTATCAAGTTCTCTAAGGACCAGGTTCTGTTAGACACCACGAGATTGTACTACTATTTCTTCCAGAAAAACCCCAACATGATTCTTAAAAGTAAGCATGCATGTCCAGTTTCTGTGTTTATATGATGTACAGTGTTTAGTCTTCGCTATAATGTTCAGTAAGCATATTCTGAAAATAAAAAAAAGAGACATTGTTAATGTGAATAAAAGAAAACTCTTATGATAAATCACTTTGAATGAAATGCATTGTAGATGAATTTCTGCACAAGTTTTCAGTATATTCAGATGGGTCATTTCCCCATGCTTTCAGCTAAAATATAATTCTTGTGTGGAGTTTTTTTTATTTTATTCCTCATTTATATTCTCTGATCTTTTAACCTCATGTATCTATAGTCTTTGGACTGAAAACTTTGAAAAAGACTTTTCATATATTAAAAAGTTAAGTTCAAAACACTATTAACTGAGTCTGTGTGTTGTGTAGGAGTGATAATGGTGTTAGCTGGATCCTTTGAATTTGACAAATTCCACAATGCCGAGATTGTAGAGAGACCAAGTGATAATGAGGAGGTCCCTATGGTAAGACAATGATGAAAAAGATGAAATTTGAAAACCATATACAGGATTTTTGATGAGAAAAATAAATATGATGCCTATACATTATAGATGTATATCAGATAGATAAAAAGGAACAGTAGAGATAATTATGTAATATGGTGTGTGTCTTTTAAAATCTTGAATATAAGTTTGTCAAAAATTGTGCTGAAATAGGGTAGAAGTAATAAAAGTGCTAAAAATATTGTATTTTCTTGATCAGCTGATCAAACGCTTGCCAAACCTGGATGAGAAGAACAAGGAGAAGCCCCTGTGTTATCCTTACAGTGTCAAGGCCAGGGCTCTCCTACACGCCCACTTCCAGAGGCTGGACCTTCCCCCGGACACGCTAGCTATTGGTAAGTGGACCGTAACCCTCTCTCTGTACACCCCTTCTCCAATGTAAACCCTCCCTAACGGACACGTTACCCTTATTTAGCTACATTGTTTGAATATGAATTTTATCTCTGTGTGCATAATCAGTTAGTTTTATGGGGTTTAATTGTGAATTTCAACATTTTTATGCCCCGCCATGAATATGGCCGGGGCACATAGTGTTTGTCATGTCCGTCTTCCGTCCTTCCGTCTGTCCTTCCGTCACACTTTGCGTTTAGCTCTGTTCAAAGCTCAGTTTCAAAGAAGCTATCCAAGATATTTTTATCAAACTTCATATGCTGATAGATATTGATGAGAGCTATGCAACTGCATCAACATTTTTTGACCTTGACCTTTCATTTGACCTTGACCTCATTTTTATGCCCCCGGATCGAAAGATCCTGGGGGTATATTGTTTTTGTCCTGTCTGTTTGTCTGTTGTCAACTTTAACCTTGCCCATAACTTTTGATTGGTTGGAGCTATGACTTTCATATTTCACATGTGTATTCCTTGTGACAAGACCTTTCTTTGGGTACCATCATATTTGAACTTTTGACCTTGACCTTGGAGTTTGACCCACTTTTGGAAAATTTTATGAGACTTTAACCTTGGCCATAACTTCTGAACAGTTGGTGCTTGGGGTTTCAAACTTCACATGTGTATTCTTTGTGACAAAGCCTTCCTTTGGATACCAACAACTTTGACCTTTTGACCTTGACCTTGGAGTTTGACCTACTTTTGAAAAACTTTAACCTTGGCCATAACTTTTGAACAGTTGGTGCTTGGGGTTTCAAACTTCACATGTGTATTCCTTGTGACAAGACATTCCTCAGGATATCACCTTCTTTGACCCTTTGACCTTGACCTAGGAGTTTGACGTACTTTTAAAAAAACTTTAACCTTGGCCATAACTTTTGAACAGTTGGAGCTAGGGCTTTCATACTTCACATATGTAATCCTTGTGACAAAACCTTCCTTTGGATACCAACCACTTTGACCTTTTGACCTTGACCTAGGAGTTTGACCTACTTTTGAAAAACTTTAACCTTGGCCATAACTTTTGAATGGTTGATGTTAGGGCTTTCATACTTCACATATGTAATACTTGTGACAAGACCTTCCTTTAGATACCAACCACTTTGACCCTTTGACCTTGACATAGGAGTTTGACCTACTTTTGAAAAACTTTAATCTTGGCCATAACTTTTGAATGGTTGGTGCTAGGGCTTTCATACTTTACATATGTAATCCTTGTGACAAGACCTTCCTTTCGATACCAACAACTTTGACCTTGACCTTGATGTTTTACTTACTTTTAGAAAACTTTAACCTTTGCCATAACTTTTGAACAGTTGCAGCTAGGGCTTTCAAATTTAATATTTTTATCTTTTGGCCTGGATTTTGACTTGCATTTGAGAAACTTTAATCTTCGCCATAACCTGCCATACGGGGGCATCAGTGTTTCACAAACACATCTTGTTCTTAAATTAGTGTTTAGCTCAGTTTTAAAGATACCATTCAAGGACGTGTAAGCTATTCAACTGCATCAACATTTTTTGACCTTGACCATTCCTTTGACCTTGACCTCACTTTTCTTAAATTATTGTCAAACTTCATATGCTGATACATACTGTTGTAAGCTATTCAACTGCATCAATGTTTCTTGACCTTTCCTTTGACCTTGACCTCACTTTTCTCAATTTGTGTTTAACTCAGTTTTAAAGAAAACATTCATGATATTTTTGTCAAACTTCATATGCTAATACATACTGATGTAACTTTTTCAACTGCATCAACATTTTTTGACCTTGACCTTTATTTTGACCTTAACTTCATTTATTTTAAATTAGTGTTTAGCTCAGTTTTAAATAAACCATTCAAAATATATTTATCAAATTTAAATATGCTGATACTTATTTATGAGAAGTATTCAACTGCATCAAAAACATATGACCTTGAACTTTCCTGTGTGACCTTGACCTCACTTTTCTTAGATTTGCATTTTGCTTAATTTTAAAGAAACCATTTAAGATATATTTATATACATGTAAGTTTATGCACTTGTACATAATTTGCCGAGAATTTTTCATTTATATCCAACTTTTTAGATTTCAATTTTAAAGAAACTATTCAAGATATTCTCATCAAATTTCATACACTTATACAAATTTTCATGTTGCATTACTAATATACCCTCGGCAGGGCATTCATGTCCTATGGACATATTTCTAGTTGATTTATTCAAAAAATTAAAAAAAAAAATAAGAATATGAAATATACATTTATTTTGATTTGATTTATTAATTCCATTAACAGTGGCCTGCCTAAAAAATTGAAAGATTTAAATGAATTCAGATTCAAATTGATTTATACGGAAAATTCCAATGAATTATTTAACATGATATGTAAAAGTGACATTTTATTATTATTGATTTGCATCTGAATTAAAAGTAATCCTGTTTCATTTCCTCTTTCAGACCAAGCATATGTAGTGAAGAAGTGTCCATATCTGATTAATGAAATGATAAATGTTATCGCACAGCTGGTGGCAGGAGCTCACAGAAACGGTACGTCTACCTGGCAACAAATAACATCAGCTTATACTTAGTAAATGAAATATACAGTAATTTTGTATATTTTTTAAAAGCCACAGTAACATTTAAAGATTAACATATATACATTGTATGTTCTGATTTCACATCAAATGTTTGATATAATGTTACACAAAATGTTATAGAAACATAATTTTATTCATTGTTGTTTGTTTTAAATCAGCTGTTCAGTACATGCCTCGACTAGAAACGGTGGAAAACTGTATGAAGCTATCCCAGATGTTGATACAGGCAGTGGACGTACGAACCAGTCCTCTATTACAGCTACCACATCTAACACAGGACATGCTGAAACATTTCACCACTAAAAAGGTAAATACCACACATAGCACAGGATATGCTAAAACACTTTACCACTAAAAAGGTAAGAAATACATGTACCACACCTAACACAGAACATGTTGAAACACTTCAAACACTAAAATGGTAAAAATAAACCACACCTAATACAGGACATGCTGAAGCAGTTCACAACTAAAAAGGTAAAAAAAAATACCACACCATACACAGGACATTCTGAAATGCTTTACTACAAAGAAAAGGTTTAATCCCCCTACCCCCCCCCCCCCCCACCACCACCATCATACACACACACACACAAACACACACACACATAAACGTGTCCTTCAGCTAACTCAGAACATTCTAAAACAATTTACAACCAAAAAGGTTAGTCTTCTGTAATATATTTTTTATCTACATGTACATGTATGTAGAATGAAAGTTTTAAAGTGCCCAGAGGTTTATTATTTTTAAATTTGATTATACTGAAGTAATTGTATATGCCCTCTGTGGGCCCTTGATTGGTGAATAAACATATTTCATAAATACGTAAAAATAATGGCATTTTGAAATTTTCAGGCAAAAATTTCTCTATACAATAAGCACAAATATCTTACAAATATAATGACAGTGTGTAAAGAATTTTTAAGTAAAGCACTAGCTGTGAAGAAATGTCAGTAACATCCAATCTCTTTGGTTTTCCATATACAATGTACTTGACAGCTAAGAGATTAGTAATTACCATTTACTTATTATATAGGTCTATTCTTAATGTTGATTTTACATGTTTGTCATAAAATGATTGTAGAGGCACATCCAGAGGATCCGCGACTTGATCGGGATGAAGGAGGAAGATCGACGCTCACTTCTTCGTCACATGACATCTGACGAGTATCGTGACATAATTAATGTGTGTGCCACACTGCCACATGTCAAGATGGAGGTCCACTCCACAGGTATAAAAAAAAAAAAGATGATTTAAATAACTGCATTAGATACTGTTGTGTAGGATGGATTTTGTTTTCGAAGAAGGAAGAGACTTACAAATTTATGCCCCACCACAACATGTAAAATATCATACATGTATTTTACAAATTTATGCCCCACCACAAAATATAAAATATCATACGTGTATATATAACTACTCAACAATTCTTCATCCACAAGATCAAATCCTCAGGAACCTATATTTTTTCCTCAAACCATAAATATTTGACTTCACAGATATATATGATTTTACAGTAACCTTTGTTTCTCATACATGTACAGTAAAGCTTCCTTTATCCTGATGTTGTTTCTGAGCAAATTGTCAGGATTATTGAAGTGTGCAGATTCCTGAAACATGTCTTTAAAAATTGGTAGACATAGATTAAGGATCCACTGCACATACAGTACTGTAGATAAAAATACATAAAGTTCAGATGCATGTTCTGTGAAGTATACTCATCTACATGTATATGTATCCATTACAGTACTTGATGATGAAGATACATCAATAACAGCGGGCTCTATCGTGACGGTCAATGTTAGCCTGACCAGAGAGATGATGGAGGTGTTGTTTGATAAGGAGGATCTGTCTCATGTCGACGAGGAACGTGACAATCTAGCCATTGCTAACGAGGAAACGGAATCCAATAAAGACCAGGTGAGTGGGACAGGAAATGATTTGTCCATTATGAATATTTGCAAATCTCAGGGACTAGGCATAAGAATTTCTTCAGCATATCCTTTGGTAGGTGTGGTTCAATTCAGGCACTGATATGAATTTCAATGTCAATATATTGTGTAGCAGAAGTATTGGTTAGTCAGTATACATATGTAGTAGGAAAGGAGGAATGAATAAAGAAAATGTTTGGCTGAGCTGAGAATCAAACCTGGGACTTCTACATCACTAATCTGGTGCTCTACCCATTGAGCTCTCTAAGCCCATATCCACGGTCGAAAGCAAGAACTTTTACACGTGTATATTAAAAAAAAATGTAGAGCTCAGGTTGTTGTACATGTATTTAATTCAAATGACTCGCAATTAAACAGTTTTTCCTGCAGAGAAATTTTTATTTTGTGGAAATTCGATTAGCATGTGAAATGATATCAAAAAAATAATACATGTAAAAAAGAACTGGTAGCCCACTTTTTGAAATTGGTAGAAACATTGTTTTAGAATTTAAAATTCAAATACAGGTAAGCAACAATAAAAATGAGGAAACTAATTCTCACCAAGATAGAGAAATGTAAAAGTAATTCAATCCTATTGACATTCAAGCCATCATTGAGAGATCTATTTTTTGGAAAAAGTAACTGTTTTGAACTGCTTTTTACTCTAATCGTTGTTTCTATCATATTGCTGATACCTAAATGCAATAAGTGATTTTGTTATATAGCAGGAAAATGAGACAGAGGAGAATGTAGAAGCAAAAGAGAAGGCTCCTATCTGGCATAAACAGAAAAAACAACCAAAGAAAAAGGGAGGTAATCAAAAGAATAAAAAAGTCAAACAGGCGTACAACTGGAAAGCTGCCGCAGCAACAAATGCCACAGCAAACGACAAGAAGGAGGGCAAGGGGGAGTCAGAAAAACAGGTGAGGTGCCTCTTATATTCAACGACTAGGTGGAGGCAAGGGAGTTGGAAATGGTGACAAGGAGAGGGGGTGCAAGGGGGAGTCTAAAAACGTAAAGTGATAATCATGCAACCAGAAGTAAGGGAAAGGGGGTCGAAAAACGGGTCATCCAAAAAGAGGGGAGAAGGGTCTGAAAAAGAGAAAAAGAAAATATTTGACTGAATTTTTATATAATTAGGTAATGTAATAGCTGAATAAAGGTGAAAAGAATTTAGTTTGACTTTGTGAAAACATATTAGTGGCCTTTAGTCATGATACATATCTTATTTCAGGGTAATGAGGTTGCAGTGAAGGATGACGAAGAAGACAGAGAAGAGAATGACAATGACTCTGAGAGGGCAGAAACAGACGAGGAAACAAATGCCTCAGATGGTGAGGACCGAACTATGGAAAAGTCAGAGTCCTCAAAAGGACATGAGGAGGATGAGGAGCAGTGGAGGAAATATCAGGAGGAGGCCAAGAAAGAACAACAGCTGGACACAAAGATCAAGGAGAGTCATCCTGTCCACTGTCCATATTACGGAGAGGTAAGTCGTCATTAGCAACAGTGTCAAAGGTCAAGGAGAGTCATCCTGTCCACTGTCCATATTATGGAGAGGTAAGTCGTCATTAACAACAGTGTCAAAGGTCAAGGAGAGTCATCCTGTCCACTGTCCATATTATGGAGAGGTAAGTCGTCATTAGCAACAGTGTCAAAGGTCAAGGAGAGTCATCCTGTCCACTGTCCATATTATGGAGAGGTAAATTGTTATTAGCAACAGTGTCAAAGGTCAATAAGAGTCTTACCCTCCATTGTCTGTATTATGGAGAGGTTAATTGTAATTAGAAACAGTCACAAAGTGCAAGGAAAGTTATCCTTTTATTGTTCAAGTCAAAAGAGAGGTACATTGTCATTTTCTTGTGCGCAGATCTCTGTAGGTGTGATGGTTTCATTGACTGGTGATTCCTTTTCAAATGAAAAAGTCTCCAAAGGGATTTTAACAACTCAATGAGTGAAAATTCAATCATTTAGGATCCTTAATGTTGTAAGATGTATTTTTTTTTAATTATTGTACTGTATCTTATCCCTGTATTTTGTAGGAGAAGCAGGAGGGATGGTGGTTGTATGTATGTGATAAGAAATCTCACATGTTGATTACAGCCCCAGTCCAGATCCTGACACTCAAAGACACAGAGGAGGTGGGTACCAGACTATCAATGCAGTTAATATTACATGACACTTTATGCAGTTTTCAAAGTGACCCCCACACCCCAACTTGCCAACAAAAAAAAAAAGGAAACAAACAAACAAACAAAAATACACACACACACACACAAAAAGAAGAAACGAGTTAATAATACATGTATATACATGTAAATATATATTTAAATAAGATTGTTACATGGGATTTTGGCTTGTTAAAGTTTTGATGTATAATTACTGTATTTGTTTATTTTTGGTGGAGATGGGGCCTCTTTTATATAATTTGACCTTCATACATGTAACATTCAAAATTATTTTTCTTTTTTCAGATGACGCTCAAGTTCTCTGCCCCTCACAAGCCTGGGTTGTATACCTACACAGTGGTGCTACGATCAGATTGTTATGTTGATTTCGATCAATCCAAGAATATCAGGGTATGACATGAAATTGTTATTTTAATCTTCATTTCACGATGACAAGAAATCTGTAATTTAGAAATAGGAAACAGAATTTATCTTGCTAAAAATGCAAATTCGCACTTTGAAAAGTGAACAAATTACTAACTCTAGGACTTCAGATCAATATTGATTCTGATGAATGAATCATGAGTAGATCAGAAACAAATGGTTTCTCTGGATTTTTGTTTGTAAAATAAGAATTTATGGGAAAATAAAATTTTTTGACAATTTATCTCATTTATCCCCATTATTCATCAGTGTGTTTAATGTTTTTTCGACAGCTGGACGTGAAGGAAGCCAAGGTGATAGATGACCATCCTCAGTGGGACTTTGTTGATGATGAAGAAGACAAGGACAAAGATGACGAAACTGACTCGGATTACTCCACGGATTTTGATGAATCCGATGATGATTGAACACCTACTCATCATTAGGAGGATGTCAAATGATTCGTGCATTTTCAGTTAAAGTCTGTGACAGCAAAGTGAATCTAAAAATAGTGTCAAACTAAGAAATATTGATGACAAATGCATATAAATGTGTCTTGTATAATGGGGAGAGCACTTCAGTAGTTAGATTATTAAATTCAAGATTATTAAAAAAAATCTTTCTTTACATGTACGGCAACTGCATCAGTTGTTTTGTTTGATTGTACTTTTGACGTTTAGAATCCTTTCAGTATTTTTATTGGCAGTTTGAAAGCTTAAATTAGCAATAGCTTGGTGTTCAGTGCTCTCTTACATGTAAATACTGATTGATCTAAATACTGATTGGCAGAAAATTATCTTCAGTTTATAATTAGGAGATGAGGTGAATTAATTTCATATATGCTGTCAAATTGACTAGAATTTAGTGATAAGTTTCAGTTATGAATAGGTGATTTCTATTTCTTTATGAAGAAAATCCTATTTACTTTAAGCTGGTTATATATATGTGTGTGTGTGCATTTCACAACTGTATGTTAAATACTATGTTTTACAATGTTCAGACATTACTGATAAAAACCCATTGAACATTTATTCACTGTACAAAAATATGTGCCACATTTGCCCTAGAACAGTTTCATTTCAAAATATTTACATACATTATCAAACATTTTCATATTAACACAGAGACAAATTTTTTTCTTGAACTTCAAATGCAACACTTCATTTGCTTTTCATATTGCAAGAGAAAAATTAAGTGAAAGTGTGTAAAGAAAGTCAGTCAAAAGTGTGGTGGAAAATATTCAGCACTACCAACTACTGCCATTTACAAAATCAGTGTACACTTGTTCATTTTAAGCTTTGTTGGTAATTTGATGTAGCAGTTTAAGATTTTGTAAATATATTTTTTTCGATGTTATTTTAGTTTTTGTACAATCAGTGGCCATAGGCATTAGTCATATACATGTTTATGTTTTTCTTGTACAAAATGTATATCAGAATGCATTTGAATGGGGGGGGGGGGGGGGAAATACACAATTTACAATATTTTCCTATACATTTGACCGAGATTTAATGACAATATTTATAGAATTTCTGAATGATTTTGTATTGTTTTATTTATTTGATATGTGCAACATCTCATTCCAAGAACAACTTGTCATAAATTCATTGTAAATATATCATAAAATGAAATGGTTGATGAATGTCATGAAATGATCACTTGTTATATTATGCTTAATGTGGAAAATGGAAATAAAAGTAAACAAATCAATGTTTCTGTGGGTTTTTTTTATTATTATGATTACCAGATGTTGAAATGAAGATCTATTTTGTTGTTTAAAAAAAAAAAAACAGAGAGAGAGAGAGAAAAGAGAAATTTTATAATTTGTATGTATATTCATCTTAAGGATAATTATTATAAAGTTGAATTTCTTATACAAATTCATCTGGATGGTGTATTTATAGTAAGAACATTTTGCTACATGTAACTTGAGTGAAAAAGCAATTGCGAGCAATGTATGTACCGGTAGTGCTGAAATGGTATCGACTTTCTAGAGAAAACCCATCCCATACAGTAAATGTTTTAAAGTTTAGACATGGTCACACCTAGTCTTACCTAGTCTTGTTTGGAATTCAATAAATAGGAATTGTTGTAAATCATACTTTTTTTTCAAGCAGCACTATTCAAAACAATTTGCTGGAACAAATTTGATAAAAGTGATTTATAGATTCAGGGGAATTTTGGACTCTATATACATGTATTAATGCATATCCATTAATTAATTTACATTTGGAAATATATTGCATGTGAAGAAAAGGCAATTTTCGATCTGATTCCTCAACACTTTGGGCCTACCTGAGAAGCGCATGCAATTATAAAGGAATCATTTTGAAAATTTTCTTTTTTAACCAAAAAAAAAAAAAAAAAAAAAAAAAAAAAAAAAAAAAGCAAAATATGTAGATGTAACAGAAAACAAGTTTCTAACCATTTTTTTTTCTTTTGGTAAAAAAAAATACACAACCATCCTCTTTTTATGTTTTATTTGTTTTTGCAGAGACATAAATATTTCTGGTATCTTTTTTTTGGGGGGGGGGGGGGGGGGCTTTTAAAGTTTTCTTAGATTCAGGGGGTCTCTTTTGTTTTTGTCCTATATTTTTAAATTTTTTTTGGCTTGTTTGATTATTGAGGCAAAAAGTACATTTAGACTTTTTCCTGAATTTCTTATTATTTTTTCTTTCTATTTTTTTTAATATAATTATGATGTAACTGCTCCTTTTTCATAGTGGGAAAGTAAGATTAATCCCCCGTTTATAGGTCAATTGTATATGTATCATATTTAATAATGCATATTTTAATTAAAGTTAAATACAATGTTCCTAGATTCATCCTTGCGTTTTAAAACTATTTACCAGTTCAATGAACATTTTCTATTTATTTCGTACATTAGTCTGAACCCTTGAATGGGCTATTTCCAGTAATTAGCAGAACCCTTACTTCCGTATTTACAAATATTCGTCACGATCATGAGTGTGTATACAAAAGAAATAATAGTCTAAAAACTGCAGAATTTACTCATCACCTGCTGTTAGAATCTAGTCACTGTGTGATTTAGTCGAAGAAGAAGACGAACATCATGTTTAAAAAGAAGCCAACCGTCCAAGGTAAAAAGAATAAATGACAAAGAAACTAATGGGGAGGGAAGCTTTTCTGATTTCACAATATTTTGCTATCATTCTTATGTCTTTGACTTATTTATTAAGATTTAACATTTCTCATCTGTTCTCTTTATGCTGATCGCTGAAATCTCAGCATCACACATGGAAATAACATTAAACAGCTGAGTGAAGTTCAGTCTCGTGTCAAAAGTTTACAACGAACATTGTATATCTACTATGTACACATGTATACTGTAGGTATTAACAGATTAGGCATTATCTGTACTTCTTTCATGTACCACAGATAGCTCTTTCTGAAAAAATGAACATTATTCCAGGGATCTGGTTGTCTGCCCCAAGATATAGTTAGATTATTTTAATAAGGGTCTGCTTTTTTATGGAACTCTCGTCTTAACAGTTGTTCATGTTATATGATTTTTTGTTACTGAACCCCTGTACACATACACAGTTATACTTGATAAATTATATCTGTGATCACATTCAAATGCTATTTTTAAAGGGGAACACCACAAAACAAGTAGTTAGCCCTTTCACGGTAACTTTGGTACTGCCACTTTGCAGGAAAATTTGTAACGTTTTGCGAAGTATCTGATGGCAGATAATTAAATGATGTTTATTTAGAAATATTTACATTTCCAATAGGGCTGTCACGAGTACCCGAAATAACCGAGAACCGCGGTCCAAGTTGTTCGGTTTGGTTTCGGTTCCATTTTTCTGGATTTCGGTTCGGGTCTGGTTTATATATATTAGAGTCTGTTCAATACAAAAAATGATGTCAATATCAAAGGAATGATGACGATAACAGTGATAAATAAACATCACAACTGAAATCTACTTCATTCCCTGACAAAACACTTGTCACGGAAGTATTAGATAATTATCAAAACGAGCAGGAATGGTCAGGTTGTGGCTAATTGTAGGCCAAGTAGTTCTACACACCGATGTCTAGACATTCGCATGGTTAAGACTTGTTTTCAATGTAAATTTAATGTAACAATAAATATTTTTCAAGTTAAATTCATGAAATTAAGGTTTAAAATAGATGTAAATAACCGAACCGAAAAACACGAAACCGACCCGAAAAATTTTGTAACCGTGACAGCCCTAATTTCCAACTGTTTTCTTTGTGATAACTGTTTGAAAGTTTGATGGGTTGATTTCTTGATCATTGTTGATAATTACAACTGAATATAAATTTCTCCATGTGAAAGGTTGAGTGTAAATAATCCCACATTTCCAACTATCGTTGATGCCCTGGCATACCCAAAAAACTAGACAGTGATTCCTTAAACAATTACTGTTATGTTATATTTAACCAAACTATACCAATCTGCCCCTGCAAAAAGGCAGTTCTCAGCAGTTATTTTGAAACAATTTATTCAAGATTGTGGCCAAAGATCACATCCAAAAAAAAAAAAAAGAAAGAGAGAAAGAAAGAAAATTATATTGTTTAAACACAGTAAAAATACATGTGTATACACCTGGTTAAATTGACTTATATGTATCTGTCATATTAGTGATATTCAACAATCAGTTTTAACAAATTGGTTAAAAGTGTGTTATTTTTTCATTGGTAATCCCTCTTAGAATCCTATGTTTACTGTATTTTTTTGTAGAACAACTGCGTGAGAATGACAGAACAATGAGAAAAACCCAGAGAGACCTCACGAGGGACCGAGACAAGCTAGAGAGGGAGGAAAAGAAAATCGTAAGTTATACACGTTAATGAAGGCAAATATTGGAAAGAAATATCATGACTAGGTGAAGTAATATTCTATGAATTTTATTTCATCAGTAAGTTTAAATCACATTCTCAATGTGCGGATCTAGGGGCAGTGGGAGGGGGAAGGGTCTGGAAACCTCCCCTCCCCCCCCCCCCCCCCCCCCAGCCTGCCTGGAATTGGCAGAGTTACTAAATGTATATATACATGTACTGAAGCAAATATCTGAAAGAAATTTATGATTAGGTTGAATGTTATTTTAAGAATTTTTTTTCATCAGCAATGTCAAGTATGATTCTCTGTTAAAACTGTTTTATTTTTTAGTTATGTTTCATGAGCAACCTGCAGTTTCTGTAGATTAAGCAAAAAATTAATCTGGAAAGTCTTACTTGTCTGTGCAAAATTCTTATCAAATACTGCTACAGGTTTTCTTCTGTGGCAAGAAAACACTTAGAATTCCTTTTTAAGTTATAATCAGCTCATATAGTATGTGCTTCTTTTAATATATTGATTATAGGAAAATATTGTATTAATTTTGTTTAGACAAAATTGAATTCAGATCATGTAAATTTATTGTTTATTTACAGGAAATGGAAATAAAGAAGGCAGCTAAACAAGGCAATAAACAGGTCAGTTCCCCTTTACACCCCCAATCAGTTCCCCCTAACACCCCCAATCAGTCCCCCCTTACACCCCCAATCAGTTCCCCCTAACACCCCCAATCAGCCCCCCTTACACCCCCAATCAGTTCCCCCTTACACCCCCAAACTTCACCACCAGAAAAGGTGGGGGACAAAGCATATAACTTTAGACACAAAAGTTTCATGTTAAAATTGATCAGGCTTTAGCCAATATATCTGAATTGGCATGCATGCCTAGATTACTTGTTGCAAAGTTGTTTTATACCTGATTCTGAAGAGTTATAGTCCTTTAACTGTAATATTTATAAAGTCCCCCCAATCTTACACCTTTCAGTTTGCTACAGTAATGTAAATGCCTCATGAATTATACACAAGAACACAAGTTATGAGTAATAGGTATTCATTTACACCTTCTAGCAAGAAAAAAATGTCATTGCCTGATTTACATGTAATTTTTTTGTTTCTATTTATTAGGCAGCCACAGTCTTAGCTAAACAGTTAATTGCAATAAGGAAACAAAAAACAAAGAGTTACTCTGTAGGCTCCAAAATATCCTCCATAGGGAACCAGCAAAAGGTAAGATAGAAGGAACCAGAAAATGGCAATTTCTTGAGATGCAAAGTTTGATAACAGTAATGAATTCTTTCAATAAGCTTCATGGAAGATTAGTTAACTTGAAGGGAGATGTAATCAGTTACTTTTCTTTACCTTGACAGTTGGAAATGTTATCAGTTTTGTAAACTTTAATTTTCTTAGAGATAGGGTAGGACACCTGTACTCAGTATTTGTACCATACTTAATAGTTGTTTCAAACTTTCCAGTAAAATACTGTTTCATGTTATACTGGTACCAATATTGGTATTTACAATGTAATTTTTTCTCTCATAATTTTTAATGCTTTCTAGTTGATTGAAAAAAAACTGAATCCTTTAAATACTGTTAAAATATATATATATATATATATATATATATATATATATATATATATATATATATATATATATATATATATATATATATATATATATATAGCCACAATCAGTTTTTACATTTCTAGTAATAAAGGTTACATGTATGCTAATTATCCCTACTTAGAGAGCTGTCTTAATTTTCAATTGATAATTTTCAATCATTGCTAACCTTTTTTTTTTATATAAAAAGATAACAAATTTTAATCCAATACTAGATTGCTATAATATAAAATCGATCATTCTCCAATTTTTTCTGTACTTTTTTGTAGCTTTCTCTTTCAAAGTCACCATAGAGAGAGCTGTTTATGTCAAACTTTCTAGTGAATGTGAATTTAGTCATTTTATTATTATTTTAGCTTATATGTACCTTTAACTTTTTTATATTAGTTTGTTTATTTATTTTTTACCAAAGGGCTTAAAAATAAAAACTAAAATAATTTATAGTTAATAATACTACTAAATAAGATACTTTGTTCTATCAACTACATGTATTTTGATAGATAGAGGTATTGTTAAAAATACTGTATCATTGAAAAAAGAATTTGGTATGGTAATATACTGGTTCATTGTTAATGGGGTCCAAGCCTACTTAGAGACATACTTTAATTTGCCATGGATGAAGTATCTGGAGAATTTATGATTTTTTTTTATTTACATGTATAATAAATTTTGCAGTTTTATGCAGTTTGTATTATAATTATTTTTTTTTAAATTCCAGTTAATGCACTCTAACATGAAGATGGCTGGTGCCATGGCAACAACAACAAAGGTACGGCAGTTTTCTTTTTTCAAGTGATGGTAATCAGACTTGCAGACTTACACCAGTCATAAAAGATCATATTTTACAGATTTCAAAAGAGTTATTGCCCTTCAACTGTAAATTCTGTCACAAAATTGCAGACTTTTGTTGTGTTTAATTGTAATTTTATAAATCAAATTAAGAAAGAAAATTTTTTCTTTACTTAACCAAGATAACCTGTACACAGTGTATAAACTTAAAAGATACTGCTGAAAATTATTTTATCTGAAAAATTATACAAAATTATGCAAAAGAAAAAAAATCTGCTCTAAATTGGGTACATTGATTTATAAATTCATAGCAAAAATTGATGTTAATTTGTCTTCTCTGATTCAGACAATGCAACAGATGAACAAAGTCATGGATCCTCAGAAGACAGCGAAGATGATGCAGGACTTTGAGCGAGAAAACATGAAAATGGGAATGTCTGAGGAAATGAGTAAGGAAACACTAGTGTATCTAATTCACTAGATTAACATTCCACTATTTTAACCCTATAAAATTTATAAACTATGTAATGAATGTTCAATAAAATGCATAATAAAATGGTAAAGGAATGTTTGTTTCCATGTATCGAATGAATAATTTTGGCATTTCACAAGTATTAAATCACACAGCTGTGCATATATAGGCTTTCATAGGTGGTACTGAATTTGTCTATAAACTTTTGTGGTGTATATGACATGTCAGATGTATTTATTTACTCATAGGGCATCCTTCATAGCTACTTAAGGGTATATAAAGTCGAAATATCTAAATATACAAAGAAATTTATATCGTTATTTGATATGGGCTGCACCTGTCACGAGCCTTTTGATTGATACTAAAAAATTTTAAGAATCTAAAAGTACATACATTGGATATCTTTGAGTAAATGAGTATTAATTATTTTTTAGTTAACGATACGTTAGACGACATTCTGGGAGAATCAGGTGACGAGGAGGAATCTGACGCCGTCGTCAACCAGGTCTTGGACGAGATCGGAATCGAGATCACTGGAAAGGTACGGACATTATAGCCTCTCTGTACTGATGGTATTACTTGTATAGATGTATTAATGAAGTCCATACATTCTGAACTTTAAAAATTGTTGGTTAGGCTAGCAGATAATTGTCTACATCTCTGCCACACGGGGACCAATTTTGAAGTTTAAAAAAAAAAAGGCCAATGATAAAAGTACCTTTGTATCTTTATTATCATTTTTTGACCTCTTCAGAAAAAATTGTAATAAGTTCAATAGATACAGTTGGACTTCTGTATCTCGAACACGGATGTCTCGAATATCATGGATATGTCGAAGTGATTTGGAAGTCTTAACCACATATTTCTTAAGTATTTTACTCTTGATATCTCGAACCCTCAGATATCTCGAAGTTTTTTCTCGGTCCCATCGAGTTCAAAATAATGAGGTTTGACTGTAATTGTATAACTTTTCCTCAAATTGAGACCAATTTAAAATGTCATATCTTTGTTTGCTTGCTTGCTGTTTGTTAGTCCCCTACCGGTGAAACCGGAGGGGACTATAGGTTTCCTCTGAGTCTGTCCGTCCGTCTGTCCGTCCGTCTGTCTGTCCGTCTGTCTGTCTGTCCCTCTGTCTGTCTGTCAGTCTGTCCCACTTGGTTTTCCGCATTTTTTTCCTACACGCTTGCAGATATTGAGCTGATTTTTGGTATGTGAGTGTATCTTTATGAGTTACAGATCAAGTTTGCATTTCGTTCCGCTTCATTGATTTTTGACGGAATTACGGCCTTTTCAATTTTTACAGGTTTTCCGCAATTTTCTTCTAAACGCTTGTAGATATTCAGCTGATTTTTGGTATGTGGCTTTACCTTGATTAGTTATAGATCAAGTTTGCATTTCGTCCCGCTTCATTAATTTTTGACGGAATTATGGCATTTTGAATTCTTAACGGGAACGGAACCAGATTACACTTGCCAGTAGGGGACTAGTATTGCTAATGCAATACTCTCAGAATGCTTGTTTTTGTGGACATCTCCACTTGAATTGATATAAAAGGAATTAATGAAACAATATGTTTATACAGATGGTGAGTGCTCCTGCTGCTCCTAGTCGAGGCCTCGGGGAAACTTCGAAGTCTCGGGTGACAGATGATGATATAGAAAAACAATTAGCAGCTCTTAAAGATCTATAGTGAAAGATAAGAAAGATGTTTGGCGTTATTCTGTGTCCAGAATGGATTCTAGATAAATGTGACATACAAAATTGTATACAACCTTATAATTGTATGAATTGGTGTATTCAGTTTATGCCATTCTTTTGAATGGGTTTGGGATGTATGCTTGAGTGATTTGAATAATATTACCTCTGACTTCTATAAGCAAACTGTAAACATAGCTACATGAATATTGATGAGTTTATTTTCAAGGTACCTATCCTTATTCACGTTATTTTGTGAGTGGGAACTTTAACTGTGTAGTAGAATTCAGTATTTTCTGTTATCAGTGATGAGAAATTTGATGTGCAGATACAATGATGATTATTACGTTTAATTATTCATTAATTTTGCCAGTCTTTCCAGATGTCAGCCTTTCCAAGTTTCAATGTTTGCTATTTTTTTTTTTTTTGAATTCTGTCTTGTTTAATGTGGAAAGAACTTGTTTTAAAACGAAAAGTTCTGACACATTTGTTCTGATGTGTTATTTTTGTATGTATAGTATAAAGTTTTATATGTATCATATCACTTTAATACAGTAATGTAATATAATCTGATTCTATGAATTAAAGAGGGTGGTGTTATACTTGTCTGACAGTAAGGTTGACAAATAATTGGGAAATTTAAAGTGCATTACTTTGCTGTATCTTTTTTAATGGAATATTGTTAAATACGTGTAAATCTGTTATTAAAATTAAAAAAAAAAATCAACAGTATGAAAATGTTTTTATTTTTCTTCCTGGAAATGGGTTTAATATTAATACAATATCTAAATATAAAAATGATAATAAAAAGTATTTGCTATAAAAAAAGAATTTAAGGAAGTTTCAGGACAAACGTGGATGACTCAGGATATTAAGACTGATATAGCATGCATTGTATTATGTTATTGTTACCATATTTGAAATTTTTGGTGTTGATTCACTGTTAAAAATTTCAAAACTCAGCTGATAAGAATATATTCATAGCTATCGTTTAAAATCGGTGACACTGATATATCAATAATTTTGCCCACAAGAATTCTTTTATAGCGATTACTACGGTAATTTGAAATTTTGCGTAAGACTTTGTCAGTACTGAAGGAACCATAATTGGTTTCAATGTTTGAAAAGGGGGAGGGGCAGTTGACCTATTTCAGCCCCCCCTTTTTTGGATATTGAAAATACACCTCACTTTCACTTAACACAACGTGACAAATGAAGAAGGTTAAATAGGAAACCCCTGTACTTTCAGTATATAAATAAGCACAGTGTATTGTTTTAGGTTATGTGAATTCAATGTTAAGTTTATATTTAAATTACCTTGCTTTGTAATACTTGCATTCCATTTTGTTTGTTAATTTACATACGTAAAATTCTTGCGATATTTTTTGAAAGGTTGTCAATCCTTAGCCTGACAGTTAGGTGGGGCCTGGTATGGAGTGACATGTATATATGTTGAGTCTATCTATTAATATCTGAGTTTTCCCTATTCTATAAGCTTGCAGACATGCTAGTGCCAACCGATATATACAAGTCCGCCTACAACAAAAGGTATCGGTTCTAAATAACTACACGGTAAAACACAGGGAAGTTCTTGAAATGGTTATTTATAGAGCCTAAAAAAAGCCTTCTGTTTTTTAGCATGATAAACCCAATATAGATTCCTCCTTTTTAATTGCATTCAACTCAAGCATCTTCAGTGAGTGGAATTCTACAATAATCATTTGCTCTACTTCCGTGTTAAATCTTACTGCCTGTTCACAGGCAATTGACGTTACATATAATTATTTTTCCTATCGCAAAAATATAACCTCGATCAGACCTAATGATTTATTAGTGCTTGTAATCACAGGCACTTGTTTCGATAATATTTTTTTTAACACAAAGTAAACTATTAACACGTGTTATTATTATACTATGGGTTAAAAATAAATTATTACAGAAACAAGTGCCTGTGCTTATAATTCAAAACATAAAATTTCTAGTGAGAAATGTGAAGATAATGAACGGTGATCGATCTCAAAAATCTACAAAAAATACAAATATTTGAAGATGGCATAAAAAAGGACCCCAGGAAATTCCAGAGGTGGAATCAGGTGCCTAGGAGGAGTAAGCATCCCTTGTTGACCGGTAACACCCGCCGTCAGCCCTATGTACAGATCAGATAGACGGAAACTCCGTAATCAAATTCAGTCAAAAACAAAAGGCCTAACAATTGTTATGAAACACGTTAGCCAAAATATGAACCAATGACAGGTTATATTTGCTAATAAGGTCATTATGACGAACACAGAATTTACGAAATGCTGACTTTAAACGAGGTTCTTAAAATCCCTGTATCAATCATCAACTTATCTGTCAGTAGCCTGCCTCGGTTTAAAAACTGATCGTACTTGGAGCATGCTCGTGAGTATCGAATAAATTGGGAGATGTAAACACCATCTGCAGATCATAGTGGAATATTACTACATACATGTAAGTAAGGAAAGTTGACGATTGAAAAGCTGAAGTCATCTCATATGTCATATAATTTAGTTGTTAGTTTGTCTTTGTCGTCTATAGTCAGTAATACATCCAAAGATAGACGCTGTGGTGTCTTTTATTTCAAGTTCACTGGGATATATCGAGTCGACATATGATCATGAATGGAAGTAACTATTGTTAAATTAAATAGATAATACGTCGTCGATATATCTAAATGTCACATTGAAGGCCACAGCAAGAGCTTTCCTCTTCTCATGTAGAAGTGTTTGAATACACCCTGCTTCATGGGAATATAAAATCAGGTCGGCAAATAAAAGAGCACATTTAGTGCCCACGGAATTCCAGCATTTTGTTGGAAGACCTTGTCTCCGAAGACTACATAAAAGAATGCATCTAACGCGATCTATATAGGATAAAGTTTTTTTTTGATCGATATGTTTCGATTAAATAAAATAAAGTGTAACTTTATAAATTTGATTGATTATTTTTCTGTTTATTTGTTTGTCTATTTGACTGACATGTACATGTGCATGTACTTTTTCAACCGGCGACAATATGTGTTGATGGGCAAAAATATGTGCAGTCAAGGAAAGTGCAAATTGTCATTAACGACAATATGTACAAAGCGACAACATCTACAGGAGGACAATATGTACCGCGACACACCTCTTATCACTAGTACACAGTGAATAGAACTTTGACAAGTTCATAAAGAGGCGGACCCAGATATATTATATTACAAGATACTGATTTTTGGGCGTAGTTAGGGTTTTCTTAGTACAGCAATTGATACTTAGGTGTCTATGACTTATTTCCTTTTTGCAAAAATAAATTAATGCACAATTTCATGCATTTTTCAAGTACATGCTCATACTTAGAAGTGTAAAATTTTAGTTTAGATTAAAATGTTTAATTTGATCTTATTTCAAGTTATATATGCAAGAACACTTCGCCCATGTTATGTAAAGAAAAGAACTTAAGGCGTCGCTCGTTTATACAATGTAAGACTCTTGTCTTTGTTCTAACTCAGTTAAAAAATTCTTTATTATGGTTACATGCACCTATTAAATGTTCCATGATGCATTCGTTTATCTGTAATAGGTTTGTTGAGTACAAGCAATATATTGCCATGTTATGTGGTCGTTACTGGCATTTTAAAAAGTCGATATGTTTAAAGAATTTAAAAATTAGACTGCTGTTCGTTATTCTCACCTTTTTTCATTCAAATACAAAATTTAATACAGAAAATACAGGGAAAAAACATCAGACATAAAAACATGGATTGATTAATAGTAATGTGTTCTTGGTTATTATCATACATGATTATTATTATCATTATTTTGTTTTGTGTGTTCTGTTATGAAGCTATGGTGACACAGGATACTATATAAAGTCTAATGCATGGCGCTTGGATACTAAATAGGTAAGACGATACCTGACATAAAGGATATATTATAGTAAGTCTTTTTTTAATTTTATTTTCTTTTAAATTCATAGAGAATATTACATACTAAAAATCCATATCATATGTCATATCAGCCCGAGGTAAATAATATTAAAATGGCATGATTCGATTGAATAACTGAAATATCATCCCGATGGATTTTAAATTAACTTTTATTTTACAAAGCATTATCATATGCACGTGTTATCATATCAAATAAGCAGATTCTGATAATCTTTGAGTTTATCGGAATCCGATACCAGTAGATGTTTCTGATTTTTTCAAATGCAAAAATCATGCAAAAGCCTGTTACCAAGGTGACCAAGATACGTACATATGTAAGCAAATTGTTAAAATTTTGATATCTCTCCAGGGTTAATAGAAGTTATTAGTCTTTTGTTCCATTTATTCTTTCAAATAATACCATGGAACTAAAAAACCTGGATTTCTCTTAAATTCAAGATAACAACCTTCCCCATAGTTTCTTTTTTTATTATCTGAAACATTAGACATTGTAATTAACACATTTGTGGTTATTTACGTTGTTTGTTCCAATATGATGGGTCACAATAGCTGAGTACTTTTTCACATTTAGATCCGTTTTCCATGGAAACAGTAACCGTAGCAACTAAATAGTCACTGTTTTAGTTTGCATTGTGAAGGTCTACTTAAGCAATGAAATTTCAAGAAAAATCCATGATCATATACGTGCCAGAGTTTAAGAACTATGAGAGAAATACACTGTATGTACTTCTATTTTACACTGGAAGTACTGAAAAAAAAAAAAAAAAAACTTTATGTGTTAGTAGATGTACGACAATTGCTCCCCTTAACATGTGAAAGTTTCAGTTCTCAATATTTCGAGATGCTTTTAAGAGCCATTCTCTGTAATGACTTGAAATTTTAAATAGGAGCTGTGGCACGCATAGTCTCAGAATTTCTCCAAACTCTCCATGATAAAAGTCTTTAATACCCTAAACTAAAATCAGGCAAAAATTGGTTGCTACCCAGTATGTGTTACGGTTATCTTGCAACATGTCTTTAAAGTTTGAAAAAGGAATTTTTTAACATATTTAGAGCCCCATAGTCAACATTTGCGGAAAAGCAAAAATTTGGCAATGCTTTTTCCAAAAGTTTAGGCCTGATGTCTTAAATGCATGATAAACATGTTTAGTAAATCAACTATTACATATGTTACTATGGAAACAAAGTATTCAAAGGTAAAAAAAAATATTCACTGTATTTTATAAAGTCATACACGTAAAAATAAAAACAATTATAGATTGAAATGCGACCAAATGATAGAGAAAAGAGCCTTGAAATTAAACATATACCAAGGACAAATTATGATATTTCTTGTTGGTTGGCAATGGTTGCCATGGTTTTATACCACAGAGAGCTTCAAATTTACACTCGGTGTGTTTAAATCTGATCCTATCTTTCAAAAAAGCACATTTTTATGGAACTGATGATTATTTTTTAAAAGGTGTTAGTTTGTTCCTAATTTTCACATTAAAAAAAAATTCAAATCAAATTCTTTAAATAGAGCGTTGCTATGGAAATAAGCAGAAAATATATGCATAAAAATCTGAAAAATGTTTTGTTTCCTTGGATACGTACCCTTAAATGTAGATTCCAAAAACTTTTGATTGATATTTATGAACAACTAACCTGACTTTTAATTTTGAAATCATTCAATCTCTAACTGGATGCAAGAAGCTGACACATAGGGTTTAATATTGATATTAAGTTTACAGAATCGATTAGTTTCCCTTCT